CCAATAATCTCAAATTGAATCTTAATCATAATAAAAGAACTTAGTTCCAACAAACCATAAAGATCAAAGAGATCCAAATCAAATGAGGGAATCACAGGAGACTCTTTTTTTCTATACAAACTCCATTGAGGATGTATCTTTTAGTTTCAAATTTTATAACTACTTTTTATATTTATAAAATTGTTATATAGTGATTTCAATAAATATTATTATACGAAAAAAAAAAACTGTATGATTTTATGAAATAACAGTTCTAGCCTACATAAAATCATTAATTTCCAAATATCTTCCAGTTATATTGAATATTCACACCTGTTTATTCAAGCAGCAGCTGTATCAAGAAAACTATACCAGTTAACACGACCACCGGTACATTTCATCATATCTGTAACTTTATCACTTTTATATTCAATCTCCTTAACTTCAGGTTTTTCGTCACTCATAATGGCTTGACCGTCAATTGAAACAATCTTCTGATATTTCATACTCCCAGTTTCCTTCAGATGTTGAACATACCAGCCGATTCTTTCAGCACCAATTCTGCCACCATCTAAATTTGCAGATGATGGTCCGGTTCTTAGCATTGCAAATCTACCTAATCAAAATAGCGGAACTTCTTTATTCCATTGTAAGTCATCTGTTAGACATGGTATACCTTTGATAACTTCAATTGGGTGTTCAGTACAGATACTTTTCATCATTGGTAAGCTTTCAACATCAGCTTTAATACCAGTAGCATAAAGAATATAGTCAATGTCAGTAAATGTCTTCGTAGTATTATTTATTTTGTCCATGAACTCAACATTAGACCATAATTGTTTTTCTTCATCCCATACCTTATCTTTAATTTCACAGTGTTTATGAATCTCTATTTTACCCATATCAGCTAATTTCATTAACACTTTATGGTATTGTGGGTTCACTGAACCGCCCCCTCTAGCATCCTCAATCATTTCATATCTTTCCATATCAGTATCTTTCATCCAAAAAGTTGACTTCATGAAATTTTGATACTTAGTAACCCATTCAAGGTGAAAATCGAAGTGCTTGATTTTGATTTCACCTCTTATAACATAATGAATTTTACCGACACCTTTTTTGACCAGCAACTCAGTCAACTGGGCAGATGTTAATCCACCACCGATCACAACAACTTCGGTATGCTTCTTCATATTTATTTTATCTTGCATACGTTGAGTTGGAACCATTGCTTGCTTTCTAAACATTTGAGCAGCATGACAGCTTCCTACCCCAAATTTATTATCAATCTCTGGTAATAATGGATAATTTGGTTCACCAGCAGGTCCAACCGCTAATATTGCAACTTTGCAGCCAAAAATATCACCATCAGCAGTTTCGATTTGAAAGCCCATACCATTTTCAATTTCACCATTAAGCATTATTTTGTTTACTTCACCATACTTGATGTCAACAACATCAGCTTGACGAACAACATTTTCTAACTCATATCTATTAACTAAACTCTCACAAAAATCATGGAAAAGTTTTGTACCTGGTCTATAATAATCAAATCTATTTCTATGATCAATTTCTACAAGACCAACATTTTTTTGCTTTGAACTTTTCATCTCCATACTGTTTTTTCTCTTGCTTCTCATTTTCTTTTGTTGATGTTTAGTAATTTCTTGACCAACAACACCATTGATTTCCTTCAATTCATTTTGACGACCACTAGAATGAGCAAAAGACAATAATCCATCAATATCATTTGGATCTGGGTGAAAAAACATTGGAGATCTAAGGTGAGGAATATCAACAGCTTCAAATTGATTATCCCATTGACCCATGAATCTATCACTAACTTTGTCTAAAACCATTATTTCATCAGGTGTATATCTTCTATTTGATTTGGATAATGAACGTTTTTTCTTACCAATTATATTTGTAGCATTACCTCTTTGACGTAGCCAGTGGAATCTTTGATGTTCACCGTCAGAAAATATAGCACCAGGAGTTTCTTCACATAATCTTGAAGCAGTAGCTAACCCACATGGACCGCCACCTATGATTATAACTTCTTTAAAATTGGTTTCAGGTATATCAAATACTTCAGTCATTCTCTTTAGCTCACAAATGTATTAGTCAGTTTTAAAAACTATTATCAACAAAAATAATATTCTCTACTCATTTTGGTAACTTTCCAGATGATCAAGACTATTTATACTATCCCTTCTTTGCTTAGCGATACCACAATCTATACCTCAAAGGTTAAAGCCACCCCAGATCATAAATATACACTATCATCTGCTGTGCATACCTGTCAGATATTTTGGCGTTTAGTAGTTATCTCACCTTATTTCTGGTAACTGTGCACACACTTCCATTCTTTTTATACCTTTGAGGTTAGCATCTTAACTGTGAAGAGACACTCTTGAAAATGCCAAACAAAGAACACCAGGGTAATTGGGGAGATCAGGCGCTAGTGATATATAGTGACCAATGACCATTCTTCATTGAACAATTGATTTAAGGTTTAGTGTAACGTTGATGGTCTATGGATGTTTTGTGGTTGGTAGGTACTAGACAAGTGAAATCAAAACGTAAACAATTGATTTTGGCGATTCTTATGTGTGGGTTTTTATATACACGTTGGGTTTGACAGTACAGTACCAATTTTTGACACATATTCATACTTTCGTTTCTTTAATAATTAAAGTCATATACAAGTAAAGAGACTAAAATTTTACAAACACTTTGATACATTTGTTCTTGGACGCATCTCCAAATGTTTCATATGATTCTTCCATCTGGTCAAAAGTGAACTTGTGAGTTACAAGTCCAGATGGATCAGCTCTGTTAGAAGCAACTTTTTCAAGTAATTCAGGAATAGAGTAAGCATTGACCAAACCTGTAGCCAATGTAATGTTTTGTGACCATAAGTCTTGAATATTGAAGTTCACGGCTTTACCATGAACACCAACATTTGCAATTCTTCCACCTGGTGCGATAATGTTTTGACAAGTGTCAAAAGTTTGTGGAATACCGACAGCTTCAATTGCAACATCAACTTTGTTTGTCAAATTAGCTCTTTCGCCTACATTAACAGTAGCAACAAGTTTACTAATTTCTTCAACAACATCAACTTTAGTTGGATTAATACCAACATCAGCACCAAATTTTTCCTTTGCAACTCTTAATCTTTCTTCATCAGGGTCAATGACAATAATCAATCCTGGGTTGAATGATTTAACTGCAACTAAGGCAGAACTACCAATACCACCAGCACCAACAATTGCAACAACGTCACCTTCAGTAATTTGACCATTCAAAGCACCAATTTCATTACCAGTTGGCATAGCATCTGAAATCATCAACAATGCTTCATCTGAAACTTTGCCTTCATATTTTTCAACATTATGCAAAGAGTTATCAGCATAAGGAATACGAGTGTATTCAGCTTGTGTACCATTGATGTTATGACCTAGAATCCAGCCACCATCAAGACAGTGGGATTGTAAGTTCTTCTTACAGTAAACACAGCTTCCACAGGCAGTAATACATGCAACTAAAACACGATCACCAACTTTGAACTTAGTAACATCTGAACCAACTTCATGAACTCTTCCGATACCTTCATGACCTAAGATTGTACCTTCTTTGACTTCTGGAACATCACCTTTGAAAATGTGTAAATCTGTACCACAAATTGTTGTAGCTTCTAATTTAATCACTGCATCTTTGGAACTTTCAATTTTTGGGATTGGAACCTGTTTGAATTCTCTTTTACCTGGTCCGTTGTATACTAAAGCTTTCATAGACATTGTGAATGGATTGTAATTGATTTTTGAGACTGATTGACATCAATTGACTTCATCAGATAATTTGGAAAAACCCCTTAATTTATACTTGTTCAAATTAGGATAAGGATCCAATGTGACACCCCACGTCTGGGGTATTTAAGCTTAACATTAAACTCCAGGGGGCAGATTAGCATGTATACCTCAAAGGCTATTGTACTTCACAAACTCCGATACATAGGTACTGGATTTGGGTGGGATGAAAACTCATTGGAAGAAATGACCATCATAGTCGTTCGATTTGTGTCTCATTATCAAGAATTTCGAAACTTTATTAGAAAACCTTTCGGAGTTTCAAAGGATGTATAGTATCAAATGATAAAACAATATGACCGATGATCAAAGGTGAAGTCCCTCATATAATAATTGGAGAGATACCAGGATCCCAATTTTCTTTCCTTAATTAATAATTTAACACCTTTCTCTTTACACAATCTTCCCATGTCCAACAAACAACCCGCACTAATCCCTAATCCCCCAGATTTCCTGACTCCTGAGTCCTGAGTCTACAAATCTCAAAAATATGTGGTGCCTTTATTGTGCTGACTCAGCGCTGACTCATCTTCGCAATTTTTCTAATTTTTTTTTCGTTTTTTGCGAAATTTTCATTTTCATCAACATTTTCTGAAAATTGCAAAACGAAAAAAAAGCTCAAATTTCTTTAACGGGATAAATAAACAAAAAGAGGACCTGAACTGGCGAAATTACTTTTCAGTATTGTTATAGACGCCAAATTGACACAAACATTTGGCTTCAGATCCAAAGAAAATTCCACACAGGTTATTCACAGGCTGCTTTAAGTGAAGAAGTACCAGTCATTCATAGTTTACAAGCGGGTCAGGGTAGAGAATTTGCAAGTGAAGGATCTATTCGCTGCGCGCATCTAGTACATTTATAATGTCAACAAACGTTAACGTGAGTATGAATCTGTTTTAATTGATAGATTTAATGTATTTAAATATACTAATTACGTGTTTTGATAGAGTCCAGCTGTTTTTAGAGAAGAAATTGAGACTTTAAAGGCTTTATTACGCGAGCAAAAGGCCTATGTCGCTGCTAATAATGAAGGTATAAACAAAAGAATTAATGATCTATTTGAAAGACAAAATGCCAAATTCAATCAATTGAACTCTGTTGTTGATCTTTTAATCAAAGAAAATCAAGAAATGAAAGGTTTAATTTCCAATCAAAGATTTGTTATTCAACCAGTGAATCCATTCAATCTGAATCAAGGTGGTGGTAATCAAAACAATGCACAAAATAATGGAAATCAAATGATGAATGGCAACTCATCCCACCAAGCTGTGAACCCATTCCAAGATCCATCGTTCATAGCTGCATCAACCCATTCAGCTAATGGCTCTACATCTTCCAATTCACATGTCACTGCAGACCCACAACAACAGGTTGTTCAAGCTCAACAAGCTCAAGCTCAAGCTCAATCCCAAGCGGCCCAACAACAAGCTCAAGTACAAGCTCAACAACAAGCCCAAGCTCAGGCACAGGCACAAGCTCATGCTCATGCTCAGCAACAAGCCCAACAACAAGCACATCATCATCAACAGCAACAACAGCAGCAACATCATCATCATCATTCACATCATGGTCATCATCAACATATTTCACAACAGTCACCAACTCAACATTCCACTCCACATCAAGCTGTTGCACATCCACCACCAGTTAATCAACCAGGTCCAAGTGCTCATACACCAGTGTTAGATCCTGCTTTAACGGATCAAAATGCTAATGGTTCGATGATTAGATTTATAAATAATCAATATGTTGATGATTCAGAAGCGCAATTGAATGCAAACAATAATAATCAACCAGGAAGTAATAGTTCAAGAATTGATTTTGTGTTCATGGATCCAAGCTCAAATAGAAGAGGTCAATATAGAGTACACTCTAATTCTATTACCCCAACCACTGGAGAACCTAATTCAAGTGTTGCAAGACCAGAAGATACTTCAATAAGTTCAGCAAATACTGATACTTCAATAACGATACCAAGCGCAAGTCGTTTACAAAGATCCAACAACAGAGCAAGTGAATTTGATGCTGAAAACTATGATTTGATTATACATAATGATTTCAATAGAGTTGAAGATGTTTATTATGAATATTATAATTCATTAAAACCACAAGTTGAAAAAGTTTCTAAAGCATATAAAGTTAAGAAAATTAGAAAATATCAAAAAATTAAAGCTTTAGCTGTTAGAATTGATCGTTATAGAAAACTGAAGAATTGTTCATTAGAAGAAAGTTTTGATTATTTTGAAGATTTAAGACTTGGTAGTGATAATAGAAAGAAAACAGTTGCTTGGTTATATAATTCATTACCTGAAGTTTTGAGAAAAGTTGGTTTAGAAGATCAATTGAAAAAATCTGGAGGTGCCTCATAGCGTTCTTATGATTAATTTTGTTGGTTTTCTGTGTTTGATTTTTATATAAGTGAAAATTTTTCAAGGTGTTAATTTTATTTTATCTAATTTTCTGGTTGGTTTAGATAAAGCTGTGTATTTTAATAGCTATTAGATAATTATTGATTTGAATGGTTTTATGCTTTATTTCTATGTTTGATTTTACAACTATGAATCGTTGCTATTTTTGTTGTTAAAGATTGTTTGGTTCAGTTTTCAATCTATTTTATTTTCCTTTTTTAATTTCCTACATGTGGTTTATTGCCTATTAATAATTTGTTTTCTATATTTTTTGCCTACCTATATTTTAACTATGAATTTTGTAATATATATACTAAATATGATATAATGTTTGAAAAAATTTAAAATTGTAGTTATCTAAATCAAGCAGAACATGCATGAACTTCTTTTGGTTTGTAACTAAAACTTTCCATAGGTTCCAGACCCCATCTTTTCAACATTGCTTTATCTTCATCCCAACCATTACATTGAGTTGTTAACATTTGTTTACCAGTGAAAACTGCATTACATCCACTCATAAAACACATAGCTTGTTCATGTTCTTTCATTGTATATCTACCAGCTGCTAATCTGATAATAGCTTCTGGCATAATCAATCTTGCAGTGGCAATAGTTCTAACAATTGCATCAAGTTTAACTCTTTTGTGTTTAACTTCTTCATACATTGGAGTACCTTTGATTGGAACTAATCTGTTAATTGGTAAAGATTCTGGATGTGGTGACATGTTTGATAATGTATAAAGGAATCCAACATGATCATCTTCAGTTTCACCAAGACCTAAAATACCACCAGTACAAGCTTTAATACCTGAATTTTGAACATTCTTAATTGTTTTCAATCTTTGATCGTAACTTCTTGTAGTGATAACTTTTTTATAATGTTCTCTTGAAGTATCAATATTATGGTTATAAGCTGTAAGACCAGCATCTTTCAATTCTTTAGCTTGTTCTTCATTAATCATACCTAAAGTAACACAACTTTCCATCCCCATATCATGGACAGCTTTAACCATTTCACCAACTTTTTTCAACCCATTCTTTCTACCAGTCATTTCTCTCCATGCAGCACCCATACAAAATCTTGTTGATCCATTAGCTTTAGCCTCTTTAGCAGCTTCAATAACTTCATCGACTTGAACCATTCTTTCAGCCTTGACACCAGTGTCTTTACTATAACGATTAGATTGTGAACAATATTTACAATCTTCAGTACAACCACCACTCTTAATGTTCATCAAAGTACATAATTGAACTTTTGTAGGATCATGATATTTTCTATGTTGTAATTGAGCTGAATGCATCAATTCAATTAAAGGAGTTTGATAGATTTCTTTTATTTGTTCTCTTGACCAAGCATGTAGTGGTTTATTTGTAGTCATTGCTAATTCTAAAGCAGATTTTGAAGGTGTTGGTGGGAAGAATTCTGGTTCTGGATCCATCTCGACAGCGGCTGCTGAAACAGCTGGAGGACTAGCATTCTTTATTGAACTATGAAATGGTCTTAAACCACGAACCAATGTGTTTATTGTATTTGGTCTCATTATTTATGTATGGTGTCTAGTTTCTATTTGAATGGAAAAAACAATGTGTTTTTTTTCAATATGAAGAAATCATCATGAGTATAAATAGCTTCTCTTATTATTTTTCCCAACGCTACCAACTCACACCAATCAATCATTAGTCTTTGTTGAGCCTTTGTCGACTGCAGATGATTATGCCCAACCAGTTTTGACTCCTTCAAATTTCCGAATTGGGTAATATCTGTGAGTCTAAAGAGAAACCACTCACAATTTGGATAAAGGTCATTTCATAGATTGACAAACAAGATCTCAGCAATTCAGCAGTTTCATTGGACAGAGAAATTAATAAGCGTATTGGTGATCAGGTATGACATGCATTATAGTTGATGTCGATATAGCTTCATGTTATTAAACAACCAATATCGCCGGCGATAGCAATGTGAATCATGATCTATCTTCTATCTTGACTGAAATTTTGTTCAGCTATAGTTGATCAGCAACAACTATCGACATATTACCACCTGTAAATTGAACCTCTCATAACACATCTAACTCACACCGACCTCAAATCTATGCGATCTGACGATCTGACCTCAGCCATCAATTCAATTCTGATCTTTGTAACTTTTTCAGGTTGCAAATTGTTTGAGTCAATTTGCGACTCATCGGAGGAGGATCTTACTGATGCTCTTATCAATCTTAATCAAAATGTGAGAGACATTAATGGAGAAATCCTGTCATATGAAAGTTTTAAGCATTTTAATAAAAATTTAAAATTCAAGGAAAACTCAATCAAAGAAAGATATCCAATTTATGCTGGAGAGGATTTCTTGCAACTACAAGATTCCTTGGTCGGGAAAGAAAGATGGGCCATGTTCTGGTATAAAGTCTATAAATTTCAAACATCCAGTTTAGGTTCCCTAGAAGCATTGCAAATGTTTAATTTGGGACTTAGAGATCATAAATTTATCTTTCCAGTTGAACTTATTCCAGAATTTCCAAGACTTAGACTTCCATTTTGTTCATTATGTCAAGAATTAGATGTTACTGAAGACATTATTCATTTATTTCAAGATTGTCCAATCTCAAAACAAGTATGGGAAGTTCTTTCCACAGATAATCGTTCTCCATTAATTAGTTCACTGGTAGCACCACATCTGGCTAATAAGCAACAGCTGCTTTTGTTATCTAAGTTTATTGGTATAGTTTGGGCGTTACGTCAATCTCGTCGTCGGGTTAGAGAAGTTCCTTCTATTTCACCACAACACATTTTGGCAGAAGTGACAAGATTTTTGAAGACCGAGAACCAGATGGTTAGAACTTATTCTCATCAGAGATAAAAACCCCAAGATTTTTGAGAACAATCATTAACTTTATTATTCTTCATTCACAACATGATTATACTGTTTTCAGGAAATCAAGTTCAATTTATCAATTTTTTTACACTTCTTAAGATATTTATGATTTCAAGCTAAAGTCTTTGGCTTTTCAGAAAAATTATAAATATATCACTTCATTTTAATTCCAATCACACTTCATTATGTGAATCATTATAGTTAAAGATCAATTTTAGAAAGCGGAAGGCTAGATCAGAACATTTAGTTATGAGTTAATGAATATAAGGCAATCTGGAAACATATAAGGAACGTTCCAGTTTTCTTCACCAAATTAATTTCATCTTCCATCATTGTTCTGATAAATGAACAGTAGAGCCTACACTTTACAAAGTTAGTTATAAATACATTTATATATTTCATATTAATACATATTACTTTAAAAAAAAAAAAAAAAAACAACCGCGAATGCGTATTTTCCGCGTACCGCCGGTGGAAATTTGTATGGTATAAGTGAAATGAATGAATTTGATATAGTAAAGCTCATTCTTCCTAATTTACCTATTAAACTCACTATAATTGAGGCTCAGGGTTATGAATATGCTATTGAATTTGTATAAAACGTGAAAAAAAAAATTTAAAATATTAAAGTTTTTCAATTTTGAGTTTAAAATTAAATATATGAAGTATATAATTTTATTATTTTCAAAACTTTATAAAAAAACAATCCTATTTAATAGCATAGTATGGATTTTAATAAAATTTTACACATAGTAGACTAGTCTGAAATTAAAAAATTTGTTGTTTGAAGAAAGTTGTTTCAATAACAGATATTTTCCATGGTTCGGGCATAGAAAGGCGACAATATCCGAGCCCGATATATAATAATGTCATTTAGAATTCCTATTCTTTAATGAATTTAAAACGTTTAGGGTACCACCTAATGCTTCAACTAAATAGATCTAGACACTATTTTTAAGTTAATTGAGACGTGTACATTTTCGGGCTATAGTCTTTTCTAATTACTTCTATCTCGTAAGAGATACAGCCTACTATACTAAAGACTATTCTACAGGTACCAATTCATTAAAAAACTTACAACTTATATATATTAATCAAGGAATTTGAACTTTCAGTAATACATGTTCAGTGTTTGGATCTATAATCCAAAATTTGCCTAACAGAATCCTTAACAGATTCTTCCAAAGTGATCCAAGATTTAATACCAGTCCATTCCAAAGTCTTTGAAGTATCATAATAGATGTTACTCTCTTCAGCATGTCTATCAGCATTTTCGGGTGATCCTTTAGCAATCTTACCCTCTAATTCTGGAAAAGTTTTGTTGATGATATTTAAGAGTTTCTGACCATTATACACATCTTGAATTGGAATTAATCTTTTTCCAGATAAATTCTCGTTCTCTAATGGTAAGACATGGACTAAGGCAGCATCACGAACGTCAATAAAAGTACCAAGTGGAGCATCAAAGAAGTGAGTGTCGTTTGGATCTGAATATAATAGCTCATTGACAATTTCCGCAGATGTATTCAAAGTTTTATTTGTCAATGAAAATTCAAGCTTTTGAGGTCCTAAAACGAATGGTGGGTTGATAGTGGTTAATGTCCACGATGGTTTCTTTTCATCAGCAAATTTTCTTGCCAGCTTTTCAGCTAATGTTTTAGAAGCAACGTAAGCCTCAAGTCCAGTATTAACATCCTCCCAAGTGATTGGATTCCATGTTTCTTCAGTATGAATGAAAGTTTTATCACCAATCTTGTTACCATTGATCACAGCAGCAAGCGAGGATGTGACAACAACATTTTTAACACTTTTACCATAGGTCTGGATAGCTTCCAGAACGTTTCTAGTACCTTCAGTAGCTGGTGTGAAGTATGTGTCTTTCAAATCCTCATTTAAGCCAAAAGAAACTGGTGAAGCTGTATGTAAAACCCCTTCAATTTCAGGATGATCTTGGAAAACTTTGTTAAAAGCGCCTGGTGCACCAATATCTTCCACAATGGCAAAGGTTAATTGAGCATTTGGATAATCCTTTTTGAATTGAGTTGTGATATTATCAGCTTTATCTTGGGATCTAACAGTACCAATGACGGTGTAGTTTCTCTTTAGTAATTGGTCCAATGTGTGCAAGGCAATGAAGCCTGAAGCACCAGTAAGCAAGACAGTTTTAGTTGCCATTTTTGAATGAGCTATGTTTAGTTATGTAGATAGTGTTTTTATTAAATTAATATAAGAACGCCCTATGAGTTGAAAGATGTTGTAAATGGCGATTTAAGCTCCTTTATACGTATGACGGTTAACGGAATTTAGGGGAGCTGTGGAATTTAGGGAGATAAAGTGTTGGCATTGAGAAACTTAAAGTATGTTATCCAATATGCTGACAAAAACCACCAGTGCTCTAAAGTGTGAACTATTGTTAATGAGTTTTTGGTTGATTGAGCTTGTAATGTTAGCTTACTTCATATGTTTGATTTTTCAGTGTAATAATTATTATCTTTGTGCCTATTATCTACCTCACCCAACAGCCTCAGGTTTATTACACTAGTTGGTACCAATCACCCTGTGCCTTCCTCTAATTGGACATATATTCCTCTAAAACGTCCTTTTACAGCTCTAGGATTGCACTAGCTGCTTATTTCAATATATAATTACTAATACGGAGATGGTACTCAGTTCCTCCCAAGTCCCCAATGGCTTAACTGGTTTCCCTCATGCATGATACATCAATTATTAACAAATCTAATAGTCGCAGCAACATTATTACCAGTATATCAAATAGTATAAATATTTGGTGTCTGAAGGAATCATCTTCTCAATACGTACTTTCCATATTCGAGTATCGAAAGGCGACAATATCCGATCCCGACAAAAAGAAAAATTATACAATTCTATAGTTGTAATTTACTGGTACCAGTCCAATAGAAAAATTGAAAATATATATTAATCAAAAATTTACAAGCTAGTATCAATTGTTTGATATCATTCAATGATCAGTGTTTGGATCTATAATCCAAAATTTGTCTAACAGAGTCTTTAACTGTTTCTTCCAAAGGGATCCAAGATTTAATACCAGTCCATTCCAAAGTTTTTGAAGTATCATAATAGATGGTGTTTTCTTCGGCATGTTTATCAGCACCATCTAGTGATCCTTTGGCAATTTTACTCTCTAATTCTGGAAAGTTTCTATTGATGATATTTAAGATCCTTTGGCCATTGAATTCATCTTGGATAGGATATAATCTCTTTCCAGATACGTTTTCATTTTCTAACGGTAAAACATGGAGTAAGGCAACGTCACGAACATCAATAGAAGTACCGATTGGTTTATCAAAAAAGTGTGTGTCATTTGGATCAGATGATAATAGTTTATTGATAGCTTCAGCTGATGTATTCAATGTTTTATTTGCTAATGATGATTCAAACTTTTGAGGTCCCCAAACTAATGTTGGGTTAACTGTTGTTAATTTCCACAATGGTTTTTGTTCAGCAACAAATTCCCATGCTAGCTTTTCAGCTAATTTTTTAGAGGCAATATACGCTTTCAATTCATTATCAACATCATCCCAGGTAATTGGATTCCAGGTTTCCTCAGTATGGATGAAAGTTTTATCACCAACCTTATCAGCATTTGCCACAGCAGCATTTGAAGATGTGACAACAACGTTTTTAACATTTTTACCATAATTCTGAATAGCTTCTAAAACATTCTTTGTACCTTCAGTAGCTGGTGTAAAATATGCATCTTTGAAGTCCTTATTCAACCCAAACGAGAATGGTGAAGCAGTATGTAAGACCCCTTCAATTTCAGGATGATCTTGGAAAACTTTGTTAAAAGCACCTGACGCACCGATATCTTCCACAATGGCAAATGTTAATTGAGCACTTGGATACTCCTTTTTGAATTGAACTGTGATGTTATCAGCTTTATCTTGGGATCTAACAGTACCAATGACGGTGTAGTTTCTCTTTAGTAATTGGTCCAATGTGTGCAACGCAATGAAGCCTGAAGCACCAGTAAGCAAGACAGTTTTAGTTGACATCTTTGAGTGAGCTATGTTTAGATCAGTGAATAATAGCGTAATTAAATTAATATGAAAGCACTCTATGACATGAAAGATTTTTGTACAATGGCGATTCAAGCTTTTTTATACTACGTCTAGAACGGTCAACGGAATTTAGGGGAGCTGTGGCGTTTGGGGAGATAAGCGTGTAAAAGTTGTCAGAAAAACTCAAAGTTATCCGATATGATGCTTAGAAAAACCACCAGTGCTTTAATGAGTAAACTATTGTTAATGAGTCTTTGATAGATTGAGCTTGTAATGTTATCTTACTTTATATGTTTGATGTTTGTTTTAATTCAATATAACAGTTATAATAGTCTTGAGGTGCCTATTAATAGATCTACCAAAATAAGTATATAGCTGCTCTTAGTGATTAATCTACTCGCATGGTACTAATACAATAAGAAAACTTGAGTATATATATGTATATATATAATTTATCAAGTGCTGACAAACTAGTATCAATTGCTTGATATCATTTAATAATCAGTGTCTGGATCTATAATCCAAAATTTGTCTAACAGAATCTTTAACAGTTTCTTCTAAAGTGGTCCAGGATTTAATACCAGTCCATTCCAAAGTTTTTGAAATATCATAATAAATGGAATTTTCTTCAGCATGTTCATCAGCACCATCTGGGGATCCTTTAGCAATCTTACCATTCAATTCAGGGAAATTTCCATTGATGATATTCAAGATCTTTTGACCATTATATTTAGCTTGAATAGTAATTAATCTCTTTCCAGATGCATTTTCATTCTCTAATGGTAAGACATGAAGTAAAGCAACATCACGAACATCGGCAGTAGTACCAATTGGTTTATCAAAGAAATGTGTGTCACTTGGATCAGATGCTAATAGTTTGTTGATAGTTTCAGCTGATGTATTCAAAGTTGTATTTGCTAATGATGACTCAAACTTTTGAGGTCCCAAAACTAATGGTGGATGGACAGTTGTTAATGTCCAAGATGGCTTTTGTTCATCAACAAAATTTCTAGCAAGCTTTTCAGCATATTTCTTAGAAGCCATATAAGCTTTAAATTCATTATCAACGTGATCCCAAGTAATTGGATTCCATGTTTTTTCAGTATGAATGAAAGTCTTATCACCAACCTTGTTAACATTGACCACCGTTGCAAATGAGGATGTTACAACAACATTTTTAACATTTTTACCATAGGACTGGATAGCTTCCAAGACGTTTCTGGTCCCTTCAGTAGCTGGAATAAAGTAAGCATCTTTGAAATCTTTATTCAAGCCAAAAGAGAATGGCGAAGCTGTATGTATAACTTCTTCAATTTCAGGATGCTCTTGGAAAACTTTATTAAAAGCACCTGGAGCACTAATCTCTTCAACAATGGAAAAACTTAATTGAGCATTTGGATATTCCTTCTTGAATTGAGCTTTAATGTTATCACCTTTTTCTTGAGATCTAACAGTACCAATGACATTATAATTTCTCTTTAAAAGCTCGTTCAATACGTGTAAGGCAATGAACCCTGAAGCACCGGTAAGTAAGACAGTTTTAGTGGACATTTTGTGATGAAAGATATTTAACTCTGTATTTGGTAGCTCAAATGGATGGATAATACTATCAGCTGAATATTGAGGAAAGTCCAAATTATGATTCAAGTCTGTTTATATAATGGAATTAAGGGAGATGTGAGATGTGAATTTCTGGGAAACACCCAAAGGGTTTGATTTTGATATTGCTGTACCTTAATTAACTAATACGATCAAATAGATGCTATTCATTCTAGTACTTAATAACCGTTAATTGCTTAATACTGCGGATAATATATTCAAAAGAATGAGCTTATACACCCGTATAATCATCACTTTTAATAAACTCAGTTACTAAGTTACCAATAGAGATTCTCACTATTAGACACATTCAAGCCACTTAAACATCTTCATTATCTTATCAATTATATCTCCATAAATCTCATAATCATCACCACTTTGTATACCAAACACACACAATCGTAAGCCATTGATGCAGTGAGTGCAATATCATATCCGAATCCCGATGCATATTGATAACAATATTACTAATTAGCTTATAAATATATTTATCAGACACAATCGTCTAAGATACCCAATGCTGAAGACTCAACTAGAGCCAGTACCACCTGCCACGGCTTGATTTATTATTTGACATCTGATAAGACAGCTAGATATACGAAGCTTGTATATCTCGAATCTCAATATTCTGTTTTGTCGACTTTATGTCTACTATATAGCATATACTCCGTGAGAAAACTGTGGATACGAAGAAACTGTGTAAGCTTACCAGATGAAGTAGCTGTGAAGTGTATTATCACAAGCGATTTGTACTGTGGAGAAACTGAATAATTAAAGCCAGTATGATTATAAAAAGGCATATGATCCTGTTTTCAAGAAATCAACGGACACCATAAAATTAGATCACTAAAGAGTTCAAAATGTCAATTGAAACAACCACTCAAAAATCACAAGAGGTTAACAAACTTCAGGCCCAAACTCAAAGTTTAAAGATTGAAGTTGATGTCTCCAATAGAGTCGGAGGTGGATATTCAAATAACTTTATTGATAAGTTACCTCAAAATGCTAGAGATAGATTTGAAAGACATGGTGTTGATTTAAGTAAAGGGTATCCAGAAAAACCACCATCTGAACAAATCCCATTATACGTTGATGATGCTCAAAAGATTAGAGATAAACCAGTTGATTATATTCCAAGAGGTAAAAATGCTGATCCAGAGAAGAAAGCACTATTCAGTAAAGTCAAACAAGTGAAACATTTAACAAAACATATTGGTACTGAATTGATTGGTGTTCAATTAGCTGATTTAAATGAACAAGAATTGGAAGAATTAGGATTATTAATTGCTGAAAGGGTTGTTGTTTTCTTTAGAGATCAAGATCTTTCACCACAAAGACAATTACAAATTGGTGAGTTTTTTGGACAAGTTGAACATCATCCTCAACAAAATCATGTTCCTGGATTACCAGGTACAACTGTTATTTGGAATGAATTAGCTAAACAAAAAATTACTTTCAAGACTGCAAAATCTGGGACTGGTAGATGGCATTCAGATTTACCTCATGAAAGACAACCACCAGGTGTTACTATTTTACACAATGATACAATCCCTTCCGTTGGTGGTGATACTTTTTGGTCTTCAGGTTATGCAGCTTATGATAAATTATCACCAGAATTTCAAAAATTTTTGGAAGGTAAAGTTGTGGTTCAAAGATCAATGCATACTTATCTTGATCGTGATGATCCATTGAATGGTGGTAAGCAAATCACTAGAGAGACACCTTTGGTTAGAACTCATCCAGTTACAGGTTGGAAATCATTATACGTGAATCGTGGTTGGTCTGTAAGTATCAAAGGATTAGAACCTGATGAATCAAAATTAATCTTGAATTATTTATTTGATGTTTATGAAAAAAATTTAGATATTCAAGTTAGATTTAATTGGAAACCAAATGATCCAAAACTCGGCTCAACTGCACTTTGGGATAATAGAGTTAGTCAACATGCAGCAGTTTGGGATTATATTGATGATAATGAACCAAGACATGGTACTAGAGTTAGTGCATTAGCTGAAGTTCCATATTTTGATCCAAATTCTAAATCACAAAGAGAAGCTTTAGGACTTGCTAATTAGATTGTTTACAAGAAAAATGAAATTGTAATTGAATATTACCTGTATTATTTTGAAACGTAGATTTATGCCTTCTTTTTAAGCCTTCTATTAGCAAATGCAATAACTTGAGAATTACCTTCTTTTGTAACGAAAAATTTCTTCTTCGAGGAATCATTCCATAATAAAACACCAATTTCTTCGGAATATTTTGATAAAACTTGATATTCTTGATCACTTGAAAAATCTGTAAATAAATATCCATCAAATGACATGATTCTATCTAATTCTAATTGCCATAGTTTAATTTGATCTGCAATTGTTGGTTGTAAAATTTGAATTTTTTCACCATGATTATTTGATTCAAATCCATTCTTCTTGTTTAATTCTTCTTCAGCAGCTCTTCGTAGTTGTGGATGTGCATGTGATTCTAAATATGATATGATTTGTTCAGATGTTATACCACTTACAAGTGCTTTTCTGATAGATTCTCTTGTAATTTGACCCGTGACCAAGTTGGAAAATCTTGCTTTTAAATGAACAAATAAATTTAAAATGGCAATTTGTAATGGTGAATTTGTATATGCATAAACTTTGAAATTTGTTTCTATAATTATAGTACCAGAATTTTCTATATTTGTTGGTGTATAAGCACTATCTTTAGCATTTTCAATAACTTTATTCATAGCACTTGATGCTGATCTTAATGATGTAGTATCAGATGTCAATGTTGTAGCAAGTCTTGTAGGATAAAACCTTCTTGAAGTGGATTTACGTTGATATATTAATCCATAATCTCTTAAATCACCCAACATATTAACTTGAGTTTCACTTAACGCGGATAAAGAATAATCTTTACCCAGTTCTAATGACCCTAACATGAATATAAAATTTAAAACATCCACAGGGTCCATTTGTAAACTTTCAGCCATTCTTAAATATTGTAATAATAAAGTCCATAATTGTGCATTAACATCTTGTAATAAGAATTGGAAACCTTCATTTGTGATTAACATATCTTTAACAGATTTCCCTTCCATCAATCCACTATGAGTCAGCAGACTCAATACACCAGGACTTGGACTTTGTTCCAATTCAGTACCAACCATGAAATGTAAAATTGTTTCCCATTTATTAGCTGCGTATTGATCAAGAAACTCCACACTAACTTTATGAGTATCATCAGTATCACACAAGACACCAAATGAATTACCTATTTCATTACCAGTTAATACATTTCTGAAACTTTTACGGAACACAGGATTCATAATAGCAATTCCATTAGCTTCTTTTAATAAATGTAAACTTTTAATTGATCGTAGGGCTTCCACTAAATCCATTTTACCATTTGGTTTAACCCAACTATCAAAATCACGAACAGCTTGAGGTTTTTCATTGAATACCATAGACATGATGAAGAATTTGGCAAGACCTGGTAAAAGTCTATAGATGGCTAAACAAGTAGCAGGCTATAATATTGTTAGATTTGATATTCTTCCCATATATGAATGTGGCTATTAGATCAATAGACAAGGGAATACATACTGATTGGTAGAGCCTCGACTGGACAGATTCTGGGAGTCCTTCCAGGTACTCATTGACGTTTGACTTGAACAGATACGAGGACATATTTGTAATGGAGCAGTACCACCAGAATACCTGAATATAGATCAAAATAGTCCATATATCAAACCAAATTTCTGATTTCACTTACTTTTAATTTTTGATAATGGCCCTAAAAAGCGCGAAATTTGGACATCGTTCGCGAATTCGTTCTATGATGATTTTTTCATAATAAAAATTTAAATGATTTGTAAGAAGAAATCAGTTTTACCATACAAATTCAAAGAGATCCACACAGACTAATGCCACCAAAGAGAAGAAACTCAGAGCTCAAGAACGGAGGGTCGAGTCGTGGTGGGAAGCACCAGCACACAGCGACCGATGACTCTTTCAACGAGCTTTTGCAGCCTGTTTATAAAGGGAAACAACTTAGTGATGAAATTAATACCGCTGAAGATAAATGGAATTTATTACCAGCTTTTTTAAAAGTTAAAGGTTTAGTTAAACAACATTTAGATTCTTTCAATTATTTTGTTGATGTTGATTTGAAAAAAATCATTAAAGCCAATGAAAAAGTGTTGAGTGATGTTGATCCAGATTTTTATATTAAATATTTGGATATTAGAGTTGGTGAAGCTTCTCCAGCTGCTAGAAATAATATGTTACCTCCTCATGAATGCAGATTAAGAGACATGACTTATTCAGCACCAATCTATGTCGATGTTGAATACACAAGAGGTAGAAAAATTATCATGCACAAAGGTCTAGAGATTGGTAAAATGCCAATCATGTTAAGATCAAATAAATGTATATTAGATGGTGCATCAGAAGCTAAAATGGCAAGTTTAAATGAATGTCCTTTAGATCCTGGTGGATATTTCATTGTTAATGGTACTGAAAAAGTTATTTTAATTCAAGAACAATTAAGTAAGAATCGTATCATTGTGGAAGCTGATGAAAAGAAACAAATTGTTCAAGCTTCAGTTACTTCATCTACACATGAAAGAAAATCTAAAACTTATGTTGTCACTAAAAATGACAAGATTTATTTGAAACATAACTCTATTAGTGAAGAAGTTCCAATTGTTATTGTCTTAAAAGCTGCAGGTATCATTTCAGATTTGGAAATTATGCAATTAGTTTGTGGTGATGATGCTGCTTATCAAGATTCATTTGCAATTAATTTCGAAGAATGTGCTAAAGTTGGTATTTATACTCAACAACAAGCTTTAGAATTTATTGGTGCAAAAGTTAAAACTATGAGAAGAGCTAAATTATCAATTTTACAAGAAGGTATTGAAGCTATTGCAACAACTGTTATTGCTCATTTAACTGTTAATGATTTAGATTTCAGAGAAAAAGCCTTATATATTGCCTTGATGACAAGAAGAGTTGTTATGGCTATGCATAACCCTAAAATGGTTGATGATAGAGATTATGTTGGTAATAAACGTTTAGAATTAGCTGGCCAATTAATGTCATTATTATTTGAAGATTTATTTAAAAAATTCAATACAGATTTCAAAGCAAATATTGATAAAATTTTAAGAAAACCAAATAGAGCTACTGAATTTGATGCTTTATTGAATATTAATATCCATTCTAATAACATTACCACAGGGTTAAATAGAGCCATTTCTACAGGCAATTGGTCATTAAAGAGATTCAAGATGGAAAGAGCAGGTGTTACACATGTTTTAAGTAGATTAAGTTATATATCGGCTTTAGGTATGATGACCAGAATTTCATCACAATTTGAAAAATCACGTAAAGTTTCAGGTCCAAGAGCTTTACAACCTTCACAATTTGGTATGTTATGTACTTCAGATACACCAGAAGGTGAAGCATGTGGGTTGGTTAAGAATTTAGCTCTTATGACACATATTACCACAGATGATGAAGAAGAACCAATTAAAAAATTATGTTATTTGATTGGGGTAGAGGAAATTTCAGTTATTGATAGTGCTTCTTTACATGATAATTTTGGTGTTTATTTAAATGGTACAATTATTGGTACTACAAGATTCCCAACAAAATTTGTTTCATTATTTAGAAATTTAAGACGTACAGGTAAAGTTTCAGAATTTATTTCAATTTATATTAATTCACATCAAAAAGCTGTTCATATTGCAACAGATGGTGGTAGAATTTGTCGTCCTTTAATTATTATTGAAAATGGTGAATCAAAAGTTAAAGCTCATCATTTATTAAAATTAAAACAAGGTAAATTACAGTTTGATGATTTCCTTAAACAAGGTCTTGTTGAATATCTTGATGTTAATGAAGAAAATGATTGTTATATTGCATTATACGAAAGAGATATTACTGAAAAAGCAACTCATTTAGAAATTGAACCATTCACTGTGTTGGGTGCTGTTGCTGGTTTAATTCCTTATCCACATCATAATCAATCCCCACGTAATACATATCAATGTGCGATGGGTAAACAAGCAATTGGTGCAATTGCTTATAATCAATTCCATCGTATTGATACATTATTATATTTGATGGTTTATCCACAACAACCAATGGTTAAAAGTAAAACAATTGAATTGATTGATTATGATAAATTACCAGCTGGTCAAAATGCTACAGTGGCAGTTATGTCATATTCAGGTTATGATATTGAAGATGCTTTAGTCTTGAATAAATCATCAATTGATAGAGGTTTTGGTCGTTGTCAAGTTTTAAGAAAAAACACAACAGTTTTGAAAAGATATCCAAATCATACAAAAGATATCATTGCTGGTATGAGAGTTAAAGATAATGGTGAACCAACTTTCCAACATGCTTCATTAGGACCAGATGGTTTAGCTGAAGTTGGTACAAGAGTTGAATCAGGTCAAGTTTATATCAATAAATCCATTCCAACAAATGCAGCAGATAGTATAATGAATCAAGATACTGGTGAATATAGAGAAACACCAGTTGTTTATAAAGCTCCAGAACCAAGTTATATTGATCAAGTTATGATGACGACGTCAGATAATGATCAAGAATTAATTAAAGTGCTATTAAGACAAACAAGAAGACCAGAATTAGGTGATAAATTTTCGTCAAGACATGGTCAAAAGGGTGTTTGTGGTATTATTGTTCAACAAGAAGATTTACCATTTAATGATGATGGTATTTCACCAGATATTATTATGAATCCTCATGGTTTCCCATCTCGTATGACTGTGGGTAAGATGTTGGAATTAGTTAGTGGTAAAGCTGGTGTTTTAAATGGTTCATTAGAATATGGTACATGTTTTGGTGGTTCTGATTTGGAAGATATGTCCAAGATTTTAATGGATAAAGGTTTCAATTATTCAGGTAAAGATATGTTATATTCAGGTATAACAGGTGAATGTTTACAAGCTTATATTTTCTTTGGACCAATTTATTATCAAAAATTAAAACATATGGTTTTAGATAAAATGCATGCAAGAGCAAGAGGTCCAAGAGCTGTTTTAACAAGACAACCTACTGAAGGTAGATCAAGAGATGGTGGTTTAAGATTAGGTGAAATGGAAAGAGATTGTGTTATTGCATATGGTGCTTCACAATTGTTATTGGAAAGATTAATGATTTCATCTGATGCATTTGATGTTGATATTTGTAATAAGTGTGGATTAATGGGTTATAATGGTTGGTGTACTTCATGTAAAAATGCAGAAAATGTTATTAGAATGCAAATTCCATATGCTGCAAAATTATTATTCCAAGAATTATTATCAATGAATATTGCACCAAGATTAAAATTAGGTGATGTTTTCTGAGTTTAATTTGTTGGATTCATGTTCATGCATATAGACTTTAATTTATAAAAATTGTACAATAGTTAAAAAAAGGGGTATAAAAAACTTGTAGCATATATTATAAAGCTATGTAATTAGACTATAGCAAAACCAAATAACTCCCAAATATTAATCACCATTATTATTACTCATCACCAGAATAAACCAAATCATAATCAAGATTTAATTTCTTATATAGATCTTTCATAGTAAATTCATCATCATCTTGATCTTCATATTCTTTCTCCTTTTCTTGGATTTCATTTTCAAATTCTCTCATTGATTTCTCAGCTTCATTCTCTAATTCTTCCAAGATCCGTTCCTTTTCCTTTTCAGGTAATGCATCATATTCTTCAGAATTTGTTATATCAGAAATTCGATCTTGGAAAGAATTATCTAGACTATATTCTAATCTTTCATTATTTCTTTCTCTTTCTCTTTTTTCGTATTCTTTTTTCCCACCAGCTTTATTGATTTTCTCTATAGCTGCATTTAATAAATAATTTGAAGCTCTTTGAGCTGCATCTCTCCATTTATCAATTAATTTTTGATTTTTATCAGTATCATTCTTGGAAAGAATAACTTTAGCTCTTTTCAAAGTTTCAACTTTCTTTCTGGCTTGTCTTAACTCATAATCAAGTTTACTTTCTTCACGACGAAGTTCTAAATTTGATTTTGTAGGCCGTATTGGAGATTCAATTACATCTTGATCTTCAGATTGTTTCTCTAAAGTAGTAGTTTTCTTTGGTGAAGAAGTTTTGATAATATCAGCAGCAGGTGATTGTTCTTCAAATGATTGATAGGACAGATTCAACTTTGGTGGAGTTAATTCAGGTTTTGATATATCATTAAGCGATGGTATTCTTTGTGAAACAACACTACTAGATCTAGACTTTGAAGGGATGATCTTGGTGGCACTTTGTTCAACCTCATCAGGATCAGCCGTCAATTGAAGCTTTCTCTTTTTCTGAACAATGATTTGAGGGTTTTCGAACCCAGCATTCCCAGACAATGGTCCCAAGGGAGCCACTGGTGATGATTTTGTAGGAATCAATACGCTAGTATCCTTTGCAGTATCTTGGTCATCTATTGTTGAAGACTCCGCGGTGACTTTGATTGTTTTAGCAGGTGTTTTGAATCCTGTTCTTGGTGAGCTCCCTGTGTCCTTGTCCCCCATTGTATCTCCAATATTTAACCAAATCAATAAATCAACGACCAATCACCAATAAAACCAGTCAAATCAATCAAAATATAAAGTTCAAATTGTTGATAAAGGCTTTAAAATGTCAAAAGATCACCAAAAGCTCGCGAATTCCTGGGGTTTCTTTACAAATGACACAAATTTTGTGCGAAAATGATGGAAATTAGAGAAAATAAAAAGGAAAAATCGTCTGAAAGCTGGCAATTTTAATAACAAGCTTGATAATGATTACCCAGTCCACTTTACTCAACAATAAATACACAATAAACCACCAAATCAGTGGAAAACCCTTCAAATCAGTGCCAAATCCTATGTAATCTGTTCGCGAATTCGTGTCCCGTTCAACTCATCGCTATAAAAAAATTTTCTTTTACTGTTTAAAAAAAATATTAAAGAATTGAAAAATGTAATAACAAAGAACTTGAACTTTTATATAGAGATTCAGAGATATACACCAGGACAAGATGGCTAAAACATCGAAACAAACAAAGAAGTTTCAAAGTAAACATTTGAAACACACTTTGGATCATCGTAAAGAACAAAAAAAACACAAACAATTGAAAGATAGACATAAAAAGAAGGCTACTAATGGTGATGCTACTACTGATGCTCAACCTGCAAAATCAAATGAAATCTTTGATGATATGAATGTTGAAGAATTCTTTGAAGGTGGCTTTGAAGTTCCAAAAGAGAAAAAACAAGCTAAAGGTAAAGATTCTCAAAAATCCAAAAAAGTTGAATCTGAAGATGATGAAAGTTCATCTGATGAAGAAATTTTAGAACATCAAGATGATTTATCAAAATTAGCTGAAAAAGATCCAGAATTTTATAAATATTTACAAGATAATGATAAAGATTTATTAGATTTCAACCCTTCAAACCCATTAGATGCCATTAGTGGTGATGAAGATGATGAAGATCAAGAAGCTGGTGAAGAAGAAGATGATGACGAAGATAATAAAAAAGTTTCCAAAAAATCAATTGAAGTTGAAGAAGATGATAAAATTGAAGTTACTTTGAAATTAGTTAAAGAATGGAATAAAAAATTAAATGAACCATCATTAAAATTGATTAAAAATATTGTTTCAGCTTTTAAATCTGCAGTTAATGTTAATAAAGAAAGTCAAGAATATAAATATACCGTTACTGATCCAAAAGCTTTCCAAGAATTAATTTTCCTTGGTTTAAAGAAAGTCCCAATTGCTGTACAAAAAATTGTTCCTTACAAAACTATTAAAAACACTAGAACTGTTCCAAAAAACACTAAAGTTAAACAATTAAATACAATTTTAAAATCACATGCAGGTGCTTTATTAACTTTATTAAATGATATTACAAATACTGAAACCGCTGCATTAGTTTTATCTTCAGTTCAAGAATTATTACCATTTTTCATTAGTTTTAGAAGATTATTAAAAGAAATTATCACTTCAGTTGTTAATGTTTGGTCATCAACTTCAGATGTTGAAACTCAAATTGCTGCTTTTGCATTTTTAAATAATTCTTCAAGAGAATTTTCCAAATCAATTTTGGAAAATGTCTTGAAATTAACTTATTCATCATTTATTAAAAATTGTCGTCAAACAAATATTCATACAATGCCAATGATTAATTTCCAAAAAAATTCTGCAGCTGAATTATTTGGTGTTGATGAAAATTTATCTTATCAAATTGGTTTTGATTATGTTCGTCAATTAGCTATTCATTTAAGAAATAGTATTAATAATACAAAAGATGGTTATAAAACTATATATAATTGGCAATATGCTCATTCTTTAGATTTCTGGTCAAGAGTTTTATCAGTTCAATGTAATCCTGAAAAGGAAATTAAAAAGCAAAGTGCATTAAGACAATTAATTTATCCTTTAGTTCAAGTTACTTTAGGTGCTGCAAGATTAATTCCAACTGCTCAATTTTTCCCATTAAGATTTTATTTGATTAGATCTTTAATTCGTTTATCACAAAATACTGGTGTTTTCATTCCATTATTCCCATTATTACAAGAAATTTTAAATTCAACTACATTAACAAGAAATCCAAAAAATTCAAACTTACAAGCTTTTGATTTTGATCACAATATTAAAGTTAATAGTGCTTATTTAGGTACAAGAACTTATCAACAAGGTGTTACTGAACAATTTATTGATTTAGTTGGTGAATATTTTGTTTTATATTCTAAGAGTATTTCATTCCCAGAATTAGCAACTCCAGTTACAATTTCTTTACGTCGCTATATTAAGACTTCTAAAAATGTTAAATTTAATAAACAATTATCAAATATGGTGGAAAAATTAAATCAAAATACTGAATTTATACAACAAAAAAGATCAAATGTTGAATTTGGTCCAACTAATAGAGTTGAAGTTAATAGATTCTTAAAAGATTTCAATTGGGAAAAAACTCCATTAGGTGCTTATATCGTTGTTCAAAGAGAAGTCAAAGAAGAAAGACTAAGATTATTAAGAGAAAGTTTATTAGAAGATGAAGAAGAACGTAAAAAGGCTAAAGAAGTTAAAGATTTCCAAGATAGTGAAGATGAAGAAGTTGAAGAAGCTATTGATGAACTTGAGAGTGGTGAAGAAGATGAAGAAGATGAAGATGAAGAAATGGAAGATGAAGAATAAGCATTTTTCCATTTCTCATGATTTCACAAACAAATATGCATATATGTATTGGTTTTCTCTGTAAAATAGTTTTAAATTAGTTTTAATTTTAATAGTTATAGACTTTTGATTAATTGTTATTTTTCGCCATTGGACAAATGTAGTAATTGCGTAAAGTTTTGCAATTAATATTTCGCAAATAATTTTCGTTTTTGAAATGTCAGATTTCGCGCATAAATTTTTTTATTATGAAATATTTCACTATGATGATCTAAAAACAATAGAAAGTATAAACGTCTGTGGATCAAATTGGTTGAAGATGTCATTAAGAAGCTGTGTGATACGATCTGCTAGACTACAAGTGATACGGAATGGTATAAGGTCTACCCCAACAATATGTCATCATAGATTTTACTCTGATTCATCAAATGGTATCAAAAGACATACATTTTCATCATTAGGTAATGATACAACTAATATATTTAATAATAATAATGATGATGATGGTGAAGCTAACCTTTTGAAAAATCATATACCAATAGATAAATGTACATCATGTGGTATTACATTACAAGAAACAGATCCACAAAAACCAGGTTTTTTTAAGAAACCTGAATATCAAAAACCTACACAAAATAAATCAGAAATTGAATTTATGAAAGCTTTTAGTAAATTAGATGAAGAAAATAAAGCATTGTTAGAACAAGAAATGGGGATTTCAAATTTTAATGAAAGGAAAGAAAGAAAAAGACATATGAAAAGAAATTCTATACTAGATGAAGATTATAATGAACTTAATGTTAAATGTACTCAATGTTATGATTCATTATATCATAATAAATTATTTTTGAAAGAAGATAGAGAATCAAATTATAGCGAAGTCATGTCCAAAATCCCAACAAATGCGCAAATTGTGAATGTTATTTCTGCTTATGATTTTCCATTGGGGTTAATGGATTTCCGTAAATCATCATATGAAAAGGGAAGACAAACTAATGTTTCATATGTTGTTAATAAAGTTGATTTATTATTCCCTACTTCAAAAGCTGTTAGATCATATGCTCATAAATATTTTGAAAAAGTTATTGAAAGAGTTACAGGAACTTCAAAGGCAACTTTAGTTAGTGCTCAACATAAATGGTATGTTGAAGATTTATTAGATAAATTACCTTTCACTTCATATTTAGTTGGATTTGTCAACTCGGGTAAATCATTATTAGCAACTGAACTAAGAAATAAAGCTATTCATAGAGTTGATAAGTCTAAAGCTTATTTAAAAGCCACTGGTTCATTTCATATTCCAGCACTTACCAAGGATAATATTGAAGTACCATTAGGTAATAAACTTACAATTGATACACCGGGGATTTTACAACCTTTAACAGCTTATGATCATGTTCAAGATAAATTTGTAAAGAATTTCCTTGGTGGTGTTTCATTTATTGCTGATAGAATGAGAAAAATGAAATATGATTCAGTTCATGGTGGGAAATGTTATACAATGGGTGGATTATTTTATTTATTACCACCACAGGGTACACTTTTACAAGTGTTGGCACCAAATAAAGGTAGTGCAAGAATTGCATCAAGTTTAAATAGAGCTATGGAAATTGTTAGAGAACCTGCAAATGGTGTTAAAAATATTTATGTTAAACCTGAATCTGTTGATAAATTGAAAAGATATGTTATACCACCATTTTTCGGTAAAATTGATTTAGTTATTAAAGATTATGGGTTTGTTCAAATCAAACCAGTTGGTAAGAAAATTACAAATGAATTATTTGAAGTTTGGGCACCAGAAGGTGTTATTATGTGTGTCAGAAGATCCATAGTTGATTATATTACCAAGAATAAGTTTTATGATACACAGAGACATCCAATACAACCAGGTGACTTCAGAAGAGCTCGTTATATTGAACCAACACCAATCCCAGATGATAAATTATTTACTCGTTTATATGAGATTCCTAAAGATTGTGATAATACTTTTGAAGAAATGGAACGTCAATATTCAGAAATTTTAGAACAAGAAGGCTCAACATTTTCACGTCCTGAGCTTCAAACAAACAAAGAAAATCCTGATTTCAAATACTGGATCGAAAAATTGTATAAATAGAAAAGAAAAAGAACTTGTATATAATAAATCTTGTATATAAAATAAAATGGTGTTCGGATGTTTACTTTATATGTCGTAAACAAAAACAATGTAATCAAATCTCCTACAAAGGCCAAATATTCAGAAGTTCACATATAATTAACCATCAAAAATGTCACCTACAAATCATTGTCACAGATGCAAACTACCCATAATAATAGATCCATCGTTGATAAATCTCACAAAGGCACAATCATCACTGCTCACGTCTGGTAGAAATGGATTTGGAAAGGGAAATAGTACTAGTAAAGAAACAGAATTAGGTGATGAACCATTCATCCCAAAAGAAAGATCAGATTTGTTACAAAAGGCTACCCAGTCATCCAAAAACCAAGCACAGTTCCCCAAGAAATCATATGAAGCCACTGATTCGTTTGTTATCTTGTCACAATTTGAAAATGATGAATCAGAAGAGAATGGCGTTGATTCGGACATTGATATTGATAATAAGACACTTTCAAATAGATTAAATACTTTATCAAACATTTTCAATGTGTTATCGTCCAAGAATGAAATTGATTATCCTGTTTGTAAAGATTGTGCTCAATTACTTTTAACACAATTGAAAATTAAATATGATAAATCTGTTAAAGAGAGAGAAGTTTATATGCAATTTCTTTCAAAATTACAAGATAAACAAGCACCAGTTGTGGAAAAATCACAAGAGTCAATTGATGAAATGAATAAATTAGCAAATCAAGAAAATGAATTATTGGAGGAATTAAAAGCATTAGAAAAAGAAAATGATGATCTTGATGATGAAATCAAAACAGTAACCGAGGAAATTAAAAATATTGATTTACAAGAACAACAAATGTATAAAGAAGAAAATGAAAAAGAATTAGAAATTAGAAATGTATTAAATGAAAAAGATGCTATTAAAGCAGAATATGATTTTAATGTATCACAATTGGAAAAACTAAGGAAAACTAATGTTTATAATGATACATTCAATATTTCACATGATGGTCCATTTGGAACAATCAATGGTCTTCGACTTGGTAGTCTGGAGAGTACAAAAGTACCATGGCAAGAAATAAATGCAGCATTGGGACATCTTGTATTATTAATGGCTACTGTTAGTGCAAGATTAAATTTTAAATTACAAGGTTATAAATTAAAACCAATGGGGTCAACATCCAAGATTGAAAAATTTGAAAGAGATTTATCAAATCCTTCTAAACCAAAAGTTACAGTATTAGAAGTTTATTCATCTGGTGAATATCAAATTGAAAGATTATTTACACATTCAAAATTAGATAATGCCTTAGTAGCATTATTAGAAATAGTATCCCAAATTGCTAACAAATTAAAAGAATTGGACCCAAGTATAGATCTTCCTTATAAGATGATTAAAGATAAAATAGGAGATGCTAGTATTAGGTTATCATCTAAAACCGCTAGTGAAGAATGGACTGGAGCTTGTAAATTTTTATTAACCAAGTGAGTATTTGAACCATGAAACAGACTTTTGAATAATTACTAACATGACTTCTTTTATAGTTCTAAATGGATTCTAGCATATTCAAGCGCACATGCAACTAGATAATAGCTAATATACGAACATGATCTATGTTCTCAATGTTTCCTAATTAGTTATATACAAAGTAATATCATCAATATCGATCGCGCAATTTTGTACTTTAAGTCCAAATTAGGAAATCTTATAACTTGCATTTTTTGGCACAAATCGCTGGCGCAACCGTTTTATCAAATTACGTAAAAAAAACGAAAAAAGAAAGCGAAATTTGTAAAGCTTTAATGAAAAAGTGAAAAAAAAGTGAATTAAATCTTGCATTTATTGTTTATACAAGATCTGTTTATCAGACAGTTTAAATCTCGATTGAATACTGGGATTTTGGGGTTATTGTACTACATTTGGAATTATAGATAGACATTGGTACGTGCTTATTATAAGAGATACTTTGTGCTAATAGAAAAGAACATAGAGGTACTACCAAAAAGTGACATATCACATTTCATTAGTAATTGTCACAAAACTTAATTTTTTTTTTTCATAATAGAAAAGTAATTGAATTGACTGAAAAGTTTTTATGAGTTGGTGAGATTATTCAACACAATTGTTATAAAAGAGCTTCATTAATAATATGGCTGAAGTTCAAATCCAAAAAAGTGATGGATCCAAACAGCGATTCCAATTGGAGAAATTAATTAACACATTGAAAAATTTATCAAAAGGACTTGATACAAATCATATAAATTTTGAAGAATTAGGAAATAAAGTGTTTAATGGATTACCTGATGAAGTGACAACTGATCAACTTATTGATTTAGCATCTGAAACATTGGCAACTTTGACAACGTTACATCCTGATCATGCTATATTAGCTTCAAGATTGAGTGTTACAAGATTGAGTAAAAACATACCTTCAAAATTCTCAGAATGTACTGAAAAACTGTGGAATTTTTATAATAAGAAGACTAAGTCTCATTCCCCATTAATTTCTGAAAAAGTGTACAAAATTGTCCAAGAAAACAAAGACTTGCTTGATTCCGTTATTGATTCTGAAAGAGATTTATCATTTACATTCTTTGGTTTAGAAACTTTAAAAAAATCTTATTTATTAAAAATTAATGGTATCTGGGCAGAAACTCCACAATTCATGTATTTGAGAGTTTCATTGGGTATTCATGGTGATGATTTAGATTCAGCAATAGAAACATATAATTTAATGTCCCAAAAATATTTCATTCATGCATCACCAACATTATTTAACTCAGGTACACCGAATGCTTATTTATCTTCATGTTTCCTTTTGGGTATTGATGAAGATTCCATAGATGGTATTTATGGTACTTTACATCGTTGTGCATTAATTTCTAAAGCTGCAGGTGGGATTGGAATTCATGTATCAAATATTAGATCTTCAGGTTCATATATTGCGGGGACAAATGGTACATCTAATGGTCTTGTGCCGATGCTTAGGGTTTATAATAATACTGCAAGATATGTTGATCAAGGTGGTAATAAAAGACCTGGTGCTTTTGCAGTTTATGTTGAACCATGGCATAGTGATATATTTGAATTTTTAGATTTAAGGAAGAATCATGGAAAGGAGGAAATGAGAGCAAGAGATTTATTTTATGCACTTTGGATACCTGATTTATTTATGAAAGCTGTTAAAGAAGATGATGATTGGCATTTATTTTCACCAAATGAAGCTAAAGGTTTGACTGACGTTTATGGTGAAGATTTTGAAAAATTATATGAACAGTATGTTAAAGAAGGTTTAGCCACGAGGACTGTCAAGGCACAAAAATTATGGTACGCTATCTTGGAATCTCAAACTGAAACTGGTGGTCCATTCATGTTGTATAAAGATGCATGTAATATTAAGAGTAATCAAAAAAACTTGGGAACAATAAAATCATCAAATTTATGTTGTGAAGTTGTTGAGTATTCTTCAAAAGATGAAGTTGCAGTTTGTAATTTAGCATCAGTTGCCTTACCATCATATGTTTCATATGAAGATAATATAATGTGGTTTAATTTTAATAAATTACATGATGTTGTTAAAGTTGTCACAAGGAATTTAAATAAAGTTATTGATGTTGGGAAGTACCCAATTCCAGAAGCTGAAAATAGTAATTTAAAACATAGACCAATAGCAGTTGGTGTCCAGGGGTTGGCTGATTTATTTATGGAATTGAGATTACCTTTTGAAAGTTCTGAAGCTAAATTATTGAATATTCAAATATTTGAAACTATTTATCATGCTTCCGTTGAGGCATCAATTGAATTAGCACAGAAAGATGGTGCATATAAATCGTTTATAGGATCACCAGCTTCACAAGGTCAATTACAATTTGATTTATGGAATCATAAACCAACAGATTTATATGATTGGGATGCATTGAAAGCAAAGGTGCGTGCACATGGACTAAGAAATTCATTATTAGTTGCACCAATGCCTACAGCTTCAACATCACAAATCCTTGGTTTCACTGAATGTTTTGAACCATTAACTTCAAATGTCTATTCCAGAAGAGTCTTATCTGGAGAATTTCAAATTGTTAATAAATATTTAATTAAAGATTTGATTGATTTAGGTATATGGGATCTAAATTTAAAAAATCAAATTGTTGATTCAAATGGATCAATCCAAGATATCAAAACAATCCCACAGGAGATTAAAGAATTATACAAGACTGTATGGGAAATTTCTCAAAAAAATATTATTAACCTTGCAGCTGATAGAGCTCCTTTTATTGATCAATCTCAAAGTATGAATATTCATATTAAAGAACCAACAATGAGAAAACTTACAAGTATGCATTTTTATGGTTGGTCAAAAGGATTGAAAACTGGGATGTATTATTTAAGAACACAGGCTGCAAGTGAAGCTATCAAGTTTACCATTGATAGATCTTTAGAAGTTAAAGAAGAAAAGCAGGCTAATATTGAAGTATTATCTAAAAAGAGGAAATATGTTCCAATAACAGATACAACGAATAAGAAGAATAAAAAAGATGAAGGTATTGCACCATTAACACCTGATAGTCAAGAACGAGAATATGATATCAATTCATCAACACCATTATCATGTGATATTAATGATCCAGGAAATTGTGAAAGTTGTTCTGGTTGATACTCACGTTAATAATCGCTTTAAAACTCTGGTTATTTTGTAAATAGAACCAAAAAGAATAGATTTTCATGTGTATAGTAAAAATTAATGAGTTTATGAGGTACATACGATGGTTGTAGCATGTAGCATGGATGATCCCATTTAACCATGGTTGCATCGAGACGTGAAAGTTGAAATTCATGAGTTGTGATTGGCTCAGAGTGCACAATAAGATAGGGGTTCCATCAACAATTGGAAAGAACAAATGCTTTGTAGATCTTTGGACCCATAGACGCTTACTTAAACGTGGTTATTGATGTATTGATCTAGATTTGAGATATGTTTGATTCTCGATAGGATCTCTACAAACAATAACCATGAACCCATAGTACAAAATACTCTTAATACAAAGTACCCATAGTTAACACCACTTCGTACTCCCTGCTTCTTCTCTATTCTGCACAGATTCTAAAACCTCAAATGAGTTGAAAAGTTGAAAAGTTCAAAATTCAAAATTCATCAGCTTGTGCGTCTTCGCTTATATAATAACCCTTATCAATTTAAAATATCCACGTTTGTTCAGGGCCTTAAATTTAGAGTTTTAAATCACCAATTAATCAAAACATCTCGAGGAATTCAAAACTATTTAAACACACTAAAAAGACTTCATTCATATCACATTCTACTTTATATTCAGTTCTTCATCTCATAAAACACCAGGTTCAATCATGATGCTTGACATAATCACCCTAGGTCTTATCGCTGCTCAACTAGTTCAAAGTGCCAGAATCCCAGGTTCAGCTCAATTCCAATACATCAAAGGTCTAACACCTCGTGATAACTCCAATAACAAATGTCCTGTGGATATCCCATTATCATGTACTGATGATTCTGCAAAGAGTAATTCATGTTGTTATGAATATCCAGGTGGTATTATCTTACAAACTCAATTTTGGGATTATTCTCCAGCAACTGGTCCAGATGATGTTTTCACATTACATGGATTATGGCCAGATAATTGTTCTAAAGATGGTTCATATCAACAAAATTGTAACTCTAAGCTAAACGTTGGTGATGTTGCTTCAGTTTTAAAATCATTTGGTGAAGATGAATTATTAACCAAAATGCAAACAAATTGGAAAAACTTGGGTGGTAATGATGCAAATCTTTGGAAACATGAATTTAATAAACATGGTACATGTGTTAATACTATAAATCCATCATGTTATGGTGATGATTTCAAAACAAATCAAAATGTTGTTGATTATTTCAAAATTGCTTATAACTTGTATGAAAAATTACCAACTTATAAATGGTTAACAGAAGCTGGTATAACACCATCAACAGATAAAACATATACCAAAGAAGAGATCTTAAAAGTTTTAACTGATAAATTTGGTTCAGAACCTTATATCGGTTGTGATTCCAAAAATGCTCTTAATGAAGTTTGGTATTTCCATCAATTAAAAGGTTCATTATTAGGTGAAAATTTCCAACATATTGATTCTTTTTCAAATTCAAAATGTCCATCAACAGGTATTAAATTCACACCAAAAGGTTCTAATTCACCATCTCCAACAAAATCATCCAATCCTTCAAAACCAACTGGTGATTCAAGTCGTGGATTTGTTAAATTATCAAATCAAGATGGTTGTTTAATTAAAAATGGGAAATGGTATGTTAGTGGAACTTGTGCAACTTATACATTGGAAAAATTAGACCAAGGTGTTAAATTAAGATCTAATGGTGGTTATTGTAATGTTGATAGTACTAAAGTTTTAAGTTGTACCAAGTCAAATGATGGTTCAATTTTCCAAATTGATTCTAGTTCTAAAATCTTATCAATTGATGGTCAAAATGAATGGAATGCTGATCATGTTCCTTCTAGTAATGAGCAAGTTGAAATTAATGCTAATGGTGATGGTTCAATCAAATTTAACTTAACTTTTGAATAAGTATCTACACATACAATAATATAATATCATTTCATTATTCTCTCTTTATATATATATGGCACATAAAATATAAATAAAAAATTATATCATTTGTTTTTTACATTAATCATGCACTATTTTGTAATCTTGAAGCTTTAAAATTCATTAAATTTAATGTAGTTGAGTCATTATCTTGATTATGATCATCTTTTTCCAATTTTAATGGTGTTAAATCTAATGAATCAACATCAGAATCAATCAAGTCAAATTTTAAATCTTGTTTCAATGAAGTGGGTTTCTTTATTGGATTTGACATGGATTGTTTTTCTAATCTTAATTTATGAAATTTTTCATACAACATTTCAAAATTTTTCTCCAAAAATTCATTATATTTTTCAACATCATTTAATTTATTAGATAATTCTCTTTTTGAATAAGATTCTTGCTTTAATTGAACATTTAAATCTTTAATTGTAGATTTATATTTATTAAGTTTATCTTCAAGTTGTATTATATGTTGATTTAAATGTTGAGTTTGGTTATTATTTGATGATTTATTATTATTATTATTATTATTATTCTCTGTCAATTCATTCAATCTATATCTATCAATCAGATCATGATAACGATCATCATAATGTTTTAATCTTTGAGTATCCTTTTCATGATCATAATCATCAATTCTATTATCTAGATAATCATACTTTGATCTAGATCTAGTCTTTATAGGTGAATTTATTGGACTAAAATTTTCTTTATTATATTTCAATTGATTTTGTAATTTAAAATCTTGTGAAAGTTTTATATCTTTATTTCTTGGCCTAAAACCTAAATTTTGATATAATTCAGTATCTGAATTTTGATTAATGTTTAAAGGTTTTAATGGAGATGGAGATGGAGATTGAGATTGAAATTTGAAATTTGATGAACTTGTTGGTTTTCTATTTGAATATAAATTTTCTAAAAAACGTTCCCTTTTAAGATCATTTTGTTTTGAATCATTTTGATAATAATTCTTATCAAGATATCTTTGATTATCATCATATGATGATGAAGATGATGGTTTATTATAACTTCTCATTGGTTTCTTATAAGGACTTTCATTAAATCTTGAAGATGATAAATTTTGCTTTATTGGAGATCTGGATGAATAACTTTTATGTGACCTTGTATTGAAATTCCCAGTGTTTAAATCAAAACTATCATCATTCTCATCATTGAATAGATTTTGATGAGCTTTTTTATTATTTAATCTTAAATTTGTTAAAGTTGATAGATCATAATCTTGAGTGGACATAATAAAATGTGAATAGCAGTAAGCAGTAGAAAACAAGAGAACTAATGAAGTATACCCAGTTGGTGTAATTGGTAATGTGATACAGAGCAAACCAGCACAATTAATCTAGTAGTAACAGTAGGACACCTCTATAATAGTATTCAAAGCAAATGCAAATTTGATGGTGTATTCTTTCAAATTCTCAGATCTGAGCAGCAAGGATTAGCTTGAGAATAATATGGTGATGATCTGATGGTCCAATGTGAAATATGAGAATCCTTTGTTCTTCCCCGTGGATGGAATGATGCTTTGTGTGGGATGAATTTGGTGGAATTAATGAATAGTTTCAGCTTTCACTATTTCTTTATTGTTTATTTACACAAAATCAAAACAAAGATACCTATAATTTTTGTGGTATCTATGGTAACACTTGATATTTCTATAATGGGTAAATACCGACCTTCTAATCACATGACTGTGTACCTCGTAATTCAATTCTCGAAAATTAGAGTTTTAAAAATAGAGTTTCCGTGTGCAATGACGTATCTCGGTAAAATCTCAAAACCTTAAAGATAAACGTAAGCCATTACATAATCCCAGCCATATTCGCGAACTTGTAGTATAACAATGACGTAATAGTCACTCGTTTAGCCGCTGTCAATATAAATTTGTTCCGTAATTCGTTTCTAGAAGTCTGCGACGTAATTTATTTGGCCTTTTTTGACATTTGAATATAAACACAATAAAATCATCAAAATTGCCATCGTTTACAAAGAAATACAAGTAACATCACCAAATTCGCCACTGATTTAAACAAAAACAATATCAAAAAGAAGGTTATTCCCATTCCAAAGTGATTGTTATTATTTATTAGTTTCATTTATTCATTTGTTTCAAAGTTCCCTCAGTTGCGCGCTTTGCTGGTTCTAGACTTTTCAAGTTTTCCATTCAACAGCGGCTTTCAAGTTTCAGGCTTTTAATCTTCACGCGAATCCGAGTATCAAGGAAGTCAACAAAGAAAACAAGTTGGACAATCAAGTTACTCATTAGCATTATATCATATCAAACTCATAGCATTATCTCATAGCATATTCATATCATGGTGATGGCATCCACACAGGCATCTCCTCATATTATCAATCCAAAATTAACTCCAAGTCGTGATTCTAGTTCGTTTGGTGGTGGGTATTTCAATTTCGATTCAAATCATCAACATCAACATCATCATCATGGACATGGGCATGGTTCTTCTGGTGGTACTACTCCCATTTCATCTAAACCAAGAATATCTTCGTCTCCATGCTCTGGATTCAATTTCAATCTAAATAAAAACAGTTTACCCGAAGTTAAAGTCACTATGGCTAATGATGATGATAACAACAACACAACAACAACAAGATCTTCAACATCCCCTTTGAAATCAGGTTTAAACACAAATAGTACCACCACCACTATCCCATTAGATTCAATCAAATCACCAACTTCTCCCATCTCTGCTGCTACTTTTAATATTCCTCATCGTTTCAATCCGAACAATTTAAATTCAAAATCATTTGATATAACTTCATTAAACATTGGTGAAATTAATACATTAAATGAATTCAAAGATTTAACAAAAGATGATGAGTTTGATTACTTAATTATTGATACAAGACCTTTTAATCAATATTCTATTTCAAGAATCTCTGGTGCTTTAAGTATATGTGTTCCTTCAACTTTACTGAAAAGATCTTCATTCCATTTGGCTAATGTTTTCAAAACTATGACTACTGAACAACAACAATTGATTGATTCAAAATTAAATAATTCCCAAAATTTAAATATTGTTTTTTATGATTCAAATTCAAGTTCAAAACAATGTTCAATTCATCTTTACCAAATATTAAAAAAATTTGAAAATGATATTAAAGATTATACTCATTCCAAAAAAATTGAATTATTAATCCTGAATAAAGGTTTTACATCATTTTTACATCAAGAGGGAGTTTCTGAAACTGATACTATATTTGATTTTAAAAAAATTACATCAAATTCAAATGATTCTTCAAATTCAAATTCATTTGCAGATTTTATATTACCTTCTGCAAATCCAACTTCTTCATTCTTATTATCAATGAAAAAAAATCAATACACCGTGGATACCACCAACAACAATTCATCAACTCAATTGAATATCCCAAATTTCCAAGATAATTCATCATTACCACAATGGTTACATAAATATCTATCAATATCAAATTCAGGTAATTTAATTACAAGAAATTTTAACAAGATTGAAAATTCTGAAAATGCAAGAATTGAATCTGTTGTATCTCAAAAAAATCATTCCCCTTCAATTTGTTCTCCAAGTTGTCTTTGTCCAAGTTGTGATCAATTAAATTATAATTTATTAGATTGTTCTGAACATGGTTTTAAAAATCGTTATCCAAATATCTTACCTTATGAACATTCAAGAGTTAAATTAGTTCAATCACCTTGTATGTCCCCCGGAGCTAATAATCAATTGAATTCAAATAGATATTTCCCAAAAGTTTCACCATCATCTCAACATAAACTGCATTTGACATCGTCCAGTTCCTCAGAACCTGATGATTATTTTAATGCAAATTTCATTGAGGTCCCACAAATTAATAAAAATTCACGTTATATTGCAACCCAGGCTCCATTACCTTCCACAATTGATGATTTTTGGAAAGTTGTTTGGTATAATAATTCAGAAGTTATTGTTTCATTAACAAATTTAAGTGAATATGGTATTAAAAAATCTGATGTATATTGGAAAAATTCAAAACAAGTTAAATTACTGGATGAAATTGAAAATTATAAAGGTTTAAAAAATTTAACTGTACGTAAAATTCAACTGGAAAAGAGAAATCAAATTAAAATTATTACTCAATTACATTATAAAGATTGGCCTGATCATGGTGTTGCTGATTATAATTGTTTATTAAAATTATCAAGTATTAAAGATGAATTCATCCAAAATAAAAAATCTCCAATTGTGGTTCATTGTTCTGCTGGTTGTGGACGTACAGGAGTTTTCATTACCATAGATTTAATAATCAATGCATTTAAACAATATCAAAATTCCAAAAAGCAACAATCATTATCACGTTCATCATCATTAAATAAGAAGAAACATGTATTGGATGATTTAAATAATGATGAAGAAATTAATATTTGGTCAACTGAAAATGATTTAATTTATTATACTGTTCAACAATTAAGAAAACAAAGAATTTCAATGGTTCAAAGTTTAAAACAGTTTATTTTTTGTTATGAAACTGTTTTACAATTTTTTAAATCATTAGAATCATCAACAACAACTCAATCACCTGCATCAACATCATCAACATCATCATAATGAATATCAAGAACATTTTTACTACTATTTTTTTTATATTTTATATTACATATTTTCATTGGGTTTTAAAGGTTTTATTATTTTAGGTTAAGAAGAAAAAAAAAAATTACATATTTTTATATATTGTCATACCCCAAATTTTGCATACATTTTTATATCAGTTGATTATGGAAGATCACTTAGGATCTTATTTTTTTTATATATTTATGGTTTTATGACGTATACGTTTCAAAATTTCAGTTTAGCATTTTTAATGAATTATGTATATATATTTATATATAGCATTTTAATGAATTTCACAAAAGTTTTTATGTATTTGTAGGGCGTTGTTTAGTTATTTATCTGATACAAGAAATATTCAAAATTTTCAACAAGATTCTTATCTAATGAACCCATTAACGCTGAGAAATTATCATCACCAATAGCTTGTTTAATTAATCCCATTGTATCTTTTAAATAATCTTTCAAGATTAAATTATGGACAGGATCATTCAATTTCAATAAATTTTGAAATCTTTGATATTCTCCATTTTCTTGGATTGTTAAATCATCATTATATTGAAATTCATAAAGATAATTTGAATGATATTTTTCACAATCACCTTTTGATTCATTAATCTCTTCCATTGATGAAATCCATAATGAAATCATTGTACTAAAATCATTAAAAAATTCTTCCCTACCTGTTCTTAATAATGAAGTTAAACCTAAGATATGAATTTTCCGGTTTCTTGGATTCCCAATATTGTTATCCATTCTAGCATACCAAATATTATTAGATTTACGTAAATTTTCCTTAGTTTTAACAAAATCATTTTGGAATAATATTTCAAAAATCTTAATTATACTGGTAGGTTCTAAGAATGATAATCTTGCAATGATTAATAATAATTTACCCACAGTGATTGGTGATTGGTCATCATCTAAAATCATTGATAAGATATTTGGTAATAATCCTGATGTCATTAATAAATTCAATAATTTTTCAAAAAAAATTGGATTATTATATGATTGTAATATAATTATTTCTAATGTTGATATAAGGATATCTAATGAATCATCTCTCATTGATGGGATATATTTTCCTAAAATTTCCAAAATTTGGAAAATAACTGGTTGGATTTCATCTTGGATGATTAAATTTGGTGTTAGTAGTGTATAACTTCTAAAAATTTCCAAAATTAATGGTAAGATTTCTGTTTGATTTAATAATGCATTTGGATAAAGTTCTAATAATTCATTAATCAATGATGCATTGGTTGAATCTTGATAATCTTGTGGGAAATGTTGTAATATTGATAACCATAATTCATACCCATCTTCAGAAAGTAATGTATAAAATTCCGATTGTGGTGAACAACAAACTTTTATTAGTGGTAATGCAATGTTCCAAGTTTTAGGAGAGTTTGTGTTTAATGCAATGATTAAATTTTTCAAGATTCTTAATAAACTATTTTTCAAAATTATTTGATTATTATCATTTGACAAATCCCAAAATTTTGGAACAATTTCCAAAAGTTGACCAAGATCTTCTAAAGAAATTAATGAACTTGTTCTATAAACCAAATCAGAAATTGTATCCAATATGAATAATTTTGTCTCGGTATATTCCACTTGTGCAACTGATGAAACCAGCACATTTGTAAAATTTTGTAAATATGGTTTTATTAATTCCTTTTTAAAATCCCAATCTGTTAAAATTGTTTTGAGGACTTGTATACCTGTTAATTTAACAACAGTATCATTATTTGGAGTTGATGGATCTAATAATTTGAATAAAAATTCATAAGTTTTAATCATATTTTCATCATTTATAACACCTAATCCTAACCATTCATTTATTAGGATACCAACACGTCTTTTCAAAATATTTCTCTCTTTGGAATCATCCTTCAATGCTTCTGGGAAGAAAATTTGAGTTAATAAATTATTTATATCAACCACGTCAGAAATAGAATTTGAACTTAATTGGAAAATAGTGAGTATTGAATCTTTAATTAAGATATTATCCATTGAGGATTCATCTAATGAATTGATTTCATTTTCCACTTTATTTAGGACATATGGTATTAATAAATCTTTAAAATGATTTATCAAATCTTGGAAGAAATTTTCTGAACATTTTCTTAAATTAAATTCATAATTTTCATTCAATTGTTCATTTATCCATTCTTCAGGATCATCATTCCATGCAAATTTAAATTCCATTATATTAATCTTGATATAATAGTTGATTAAAACATCTGTAAGTTTTTTAATCATATCTTCTGTAAAGAAATTTGTTGTTAATAATTGAATTGCATTTTCAATTTCTTGTTTATTGGATTTTGATTTTAATGTTAATACAGCACCTTTCTTGAAAAGGAAATTTATAATTTGCTTGAAAATCAACAATGATTTAATCACAATAAATTCATAAACATCTTCTGTATCATCTTCTTTCTCCAAATTATGTAAATATTCAGCTTTGTCATAAATATATCCTAATAATGTATACAAGATATCCTTGGAAGATGGGAAAAGTATCAAGTTTGTTGGATTATTTTTTGTTAGATTATGATATATCTTAATATAACATCTCATGAATTTATGTATAGGATCAGCATCAACTTCAAAATTATTTAAAATTTTTAAATGTTCCACTGTAATTCCTAAAAATTCTTTTAATTCATTAGAGTGATATGGAATTTCCACAACATCAACAATAATTCTTCTTATATTTTTCAATGCCATATATGAAATTTCAATAGTATCTAAGTTATAATCTTGGATGAAATCATTGAAAAAATGAATATAAATCTTGACAATTAGTGGTATAATTATAGGGATTTTTGATTGTAAAGCAGGTCTAGTCTTACCAATCTTGGCCATTGCCAAATTTTTGATAATTTGATTTAATATAACCAATATATTACGAAGTTTAACTCTATTATCTTCTTGTAATGAATTTTGTAACATTGGTTCAATTTCATCAATTAAAGTTGGCCATTCAATTGGGAAATCAAATCTACAAATTCTTGATATTGCTTGAGCATTTTGAATGGTTAATTGATTATTTGGTTCATCAATCAATTCGAATAATCTTGATCTAATTGAAACTTTTTCATCTTTGGAGATGGCACTTTAAAACCTCTGTTAGTATAAGCTAATAAATCAACTAATAATCAAGCATACTCACTTCTTTCTTGATGATCTCCAATACTTTTCAATCCCATTCTTGAAATTGATAATAGCTAACCATCTTGTCTGCAAAGGCAATGATAAGTCATTATAAACAGTCTAAAAAGAGGTTAGTATTCGTCTCCCAAATCACCAATTGATGGTAACTCACTTGTAATAAATAATGGAATCCCGGTTGAACTTCCCATTCTTTTAATTGATTCTCAGCCAATTTCTGATTCACACCACGTTCTGATCCATTAGCTTGATCTAGGACGTTTACCAGAGAAAGAAGATCAAGACTCATAGTTAATTAGCCTGATATTCCTGAGTAAATGCTTGTGATTTTTGAGGATTTTACTATGTAACTTTTGATGAGTATAAATTATTTTTTGTCTGCGATGGGAGTTTGAAAATTTTATTATGTAACATACAAATATAAGACCAAATATTTTAAATATCATGCAATTAAGATAATTGTAAGGTCAGAAATTGGTATTGATTTGTTTATGATGGTAATCTACGCTTTATTTTGTATATTTCTTGTCAAAATCTCAAAAAATTAGCATGTATAGATATTATAAAGTATATAATTTATCACTCAAATATTACAAAGAAAACATAAATATGGAATTAAACCAATAACACCACCACTCACCATCTATGTGCTTCATCACCACCTTCCCATGATCTTTCTTCATACCCTAATTCCCTTTTAACCCTTTGAACAGTTTCATGGTCACCAGTGTTTTTACCTAAATTATCACTAATTTTAATTGAAGGATTACCATTAGCTTCACTAATCTTAATAACAATATTCAAAGGTTCAGACTTGGAACCATCACTAGCATTATTAAAATCATTTGTAAAATTTGTACCAATACCAAATATTGAATTTAATCCAACTTGATCAGCTTTATTCTTATACAAAATTGCCTTTTCAACATTTAAAGAATCTGAAAAACAAATAGTTTTAGAAAATTTTGGTAATCCAAGGGTTTGATAATAATGATTTGCAATTTTTTCTGCATATATTAAAGGATCTCCAGAATCTTGTCTTACCCCTGAATAATAATTTGAATATGGTGGATTGAAAATTTTCAAAAAAGAATCAGTACCAAAAGTATCTGTTAATGCTAATCCTGAATTTTCAGGACCAAAAGTCTCGGTCCAAATCTTTATGGAGTTGAAATTTGCATTTATATAATCATTTGTTATTGATGCAATACCCATCATCCATTCATGAGCAATTGTACCTATTGGTTTTAAATTAAAAGTTTTAGCAAATAATACATTTGAACTACCCAAGAAAAACTTGCTTTCTTCTGGTGAAAGGGTTTTAGTTAATTCCACAATACTTCCAATTATTAATTTTTGAGTTTCAAATGATCTTCTTCTTCTAGCACCAAATTCTGAAAATGGGATTTTGTTGTTAATTAATTCCTTAGCTTTTGTTTGAATTTTTTCTAATTGACCATCTAAATTCCAATCAGTATCAACAAATTTGAAATAAGCTTCAGAGATTAATGCTAATATTGGGATTTCATATAATATAGTATCTTGCCATTTACCATGGATTTTTAAATCCAATGTATTATCTTCTTCAACAATTATTTTAACATCTTCTTTTGGTGATAATTTGAAAGTCTCCAAGTATTGGAAGTATTCATTTGGTAAATAAGGAACAGATTTTTGTAAATATTCAATATCTTCACTGGTGAATCTTAGATCTCCTAATAATTCAATTTGTTTTTTTAACCAATCTATAGCTTCATTATTTAATTTCTTATAAGGTGTTCTATTCGTAAAATTATATGAAACAATGGCATCAGGGAAGTTCTTATGAACAGCAGCATGCATTGTGATCTTGTAAAGATCTGTATCTAGAAGAGAGGTGATCACTGGCTCAATTGACATGATTGGTGTTATTTCAGCTCGTAATCGTCTTCTTTATTGTTTATTCGTTTCTTTGGTGATGTTTTTGTCTTATCACTTTTTTTTTCTTAGGAAATATCGGTTAATTAAAAAAATGGTCTTTTTCAATTTTAAATACCCGGTCGATTAAATTATTTCAAATCGCACCATAAATGTTCAAACTTCAGCCAACTACTTGATATTTCATACTAAACAATTATGTTACTCATATTGAAGCTTACATGATACGTTGTTTCTTTTGCTCACAAGTGGAAGCTATTTGATATTATATTAGGGTTCACATATAGAAAGAATGGTTGATCAAAGCCAGCGGCTACGAAGTACCAACAATACCAAATATACAAAACAGTGAAGATGTGATCCATATTACAAGACATTCATTTAACAATTTAAAGGTTTATATATGGTGATTTTAAGGAGATATCACTTCATTATACATCTCAATATCATCAAATGCCAAATACTTCAATTTGTTACTTTTTCGTCGCTCATATAAAGCTGTTCCACCAATACCAGGGTTTGAGTATCTGTCGAAATTGGACTGTTTGACTAATCCAGGTCATTTTGATGAAGTTAAAAAAAGTATTCCACAAATTTACAACCATAACCCATATGAGATTGATGATAACAACCATATTTAATGGCTCAAAAATGATATGAATACTGAAAATTTTAATAAGCGTGGTCACTATGCAAATTATGAATTTCAAAGAGAAATCGAATTACTTCTAAGAGCAGAGTCAGTGATTGATTTATTAGAGGTTGGTGCAATCCACAAGGTAGATTCACTTACTATGCCACCGCATGTTAGAGCTGCTAGTAATTTTGCATGGAATGAATCTGCTGATATCAAATCAGAGCCAGAAGAGACCAAAGATTCTTACCTACAATTGGTTTTTCAAAATGGGACTTGCTCAACTTTCAAAGCACCAGATAGGTTCATCAGAGATGAATGGGTATCTAGATTAAATGCCTTGATGAATTACTGGAAAGAACGCAAGAAAGAGGATACAAAAAGAATCAATGAAATCAAATTAGAAAATATAGAAAGGCTAAACACTGATGAAGGACTGGAAGCTAATGTTGGTGAATCAACTCCAAAATGGGAAAATTCAAGAGGTGTTGCAGAGCCAACTATTCACAATATAAACTCAAATGCCATGTTAAGACCAGTTGTCAGAAGTGATATGCTATTCCAGAAACCTAAGAAGCGTTCAAGTTTTAAGAATTATTATGTTGTTTTAGTTCCAGGTTTTATCATCTTATATCGCCTTTTTGTTAGAGGCTTACGTGGGTTACCATTACCAACCACACATTATGATCATTACTCAACAATACCCATCATTGATTGCTACGTGTATTCTGGTAATACAAGTGGCATTTATCTATTGGATAGAGACAGTGGTATAGATAAGGTCAATCAAGGGTGTGGTCTATTACCGTGAATATATCGAGATGGTTGAACCTTCAAGATGCTTCACATTATTGATTTAAAAGAAACAATTTCGGGGATGTTGAATGAAAGATCGAAATCTGATCATTCAAGTTTGAATAATCATATCTCTGACAATCCAGGTTTATTGAGATATTTAATGGTTTTATACCAGTTTATGTTACAGGTGAAAGTATGTATTTCGTGTGTATATGTCGATACAGGGAAGAGATATTTCGGTTAATATTACCTACATAAAAGTTGTAGTTTTATAAATAACGAGCTGATCATATTGTTTTAAGTTAATGGTGCGAGTCAACAAATGCTAAGATTATAATTAAACGTGTTGATCATTCAGGAATCAGCTCTAGGACTATCTCTAGCCTCTTTTTTGCACATTGAATTCATTATGCTCATCAAAGTAGGTGGCATAGCCATTCTAATTGCCATTGGAACTAATTTTTTAATCAAAAGAGCCCAAATTGGATGTTCAGCTCCAATCCACAGATCGACGATCAATTCCATGGTATCACTTTCTTGAACAGAGTCCCCCCAGTTTCTTGCAAGGGACATAAGGGAAAACAAAGTTGACCTGTTCTCTCTCTCAAACCCAAACCTTGTAACAATACCACCTACAACACCTTCGGTAATAGTAATTCCGACTTCGAAACCCAGAGACCAAAATGTATGTGAATTAGTTTTTCCTTTCATTTCTTTATAATGTAAACATGTCTTCACAATAGTATCTAAAGTTTTTTTGTCCAAAAACCCATCCAAATAATCAGAACTTTTTGAATTATTTAAATCACATTTATCAACATCTAAAGTTTCAAAATGACTTCCAACCTCATGTTCATCATCATTAACAATTTCTTCAGCTGCAGATGACTTTGTCCCAGTTTTTAAGTTATTTTCAGAGGAGCCATTATTTGCATTACCATCAACCATGTTAACATTTTCTAAAGTACTTGACTTGAGATCCTTTGAATTTTCCCGCTGGTAGAGTTTGATATTATTGAGAAATCTGAATGTCAGTCTGGATTTCTTCTTTTTCTTACAGGTGGTACTGTCTATATTTGGATCTGATTCAGGGATGTGATTCTGATTTTCCATATTCCCTCCTAAAACCAGTTGTGTCTTTTCATCGATGTTGAAGTCAACAGCTTTCTTATCTTCATTTGAGGAGGTATTTTGGGTAGCTGGTAATGTATGTTTTATTGAATTGGAAGAATAACCACGGGATATAATTGGTTGTGTTTGCATAGCTGGATCACCTTCAGTTGAATTATAAAGAATCATTTCAAACTCTGAAACTTTCTCTTTTAAACCATTCAACAGGCTGGCCAGCTGAACTGAATAACCAGAAATTTCTTTGAGTAATGAAATCATGTATGACACATCTGTTGGATTTGTTGAATTTGAATTTGAATTTGATTCTCGAACAGGGAATGGTTCTGAACCGCTCATAATTGCACTGATAATCTGTAGTATAGTAAAGAGTAAAGAGAACCTCTAATAAATGTATAGAGCACAATTCGATCTTCACCTGGGGAATCGTTAAACTAGTTAGAGTGTGGTGTATAGACTAGTCGTCAACACATGTTTGTTAACTCATGTATGTTGGCGACGTACACAAAGACGACTATTTATAATATAAGGTTTATATATCGTGTTGATCAGCTAAAGCTTCAAGCATTAGTCAAATTGAATGTCAAAACCTTAGGATAATTTATATTGGATGATTCTGGCATAATATTGATAGTGGTACGATACAATATAGTTAAGTAGATGGCTTCTTCTTATATCTTCTTCTTGTTCTTTATCAATTAGGAACCTTCAGTTTGAGTATTCGAAAAACACAAACGTCTACTTAAAATGTACCATGCACAGTAATATTACATACCAAAGGTTCTTGAATTTCAACTCAGCTGTAGTATTAGAGAATATCCATCTTTATAAGTGTATCTACTCAACTAGAGCTGTAAATATAACGTCGAGATACCGCGCGCGTTAATATTCTGATCATCATTTATGTGTATTTAATTAATATTGTATATGATATTTAATAATATATATTATACACAAATATAACTCAAGAACGCAATCAGCGCAGTATGGCATGATCCTTGAGAGATATAAATTTTGTGCGTGATATAACGAGAACAAATTAATATGTATATATATATATATGTAATCATGAATATCCGCTTATATTACCATATGAACTATTTACTTGAACTCAAACTGCATCAAATTAATATATCAGCTTATAAAATATGGTGGACAACAATAACTTATTCGATGACATACCCGTTGAGAACAATAACACCGTAGATTCTCAAGACATAGAAGATGAAATAGAAATGGAAATGGCTCTTGATTCATTACCTTACTCTGAAAGTGTCTTTAATATAGTGCCCTGCTTCCACAATGTGTGCACTTGCTCAAAAAGATTGATGCCAGATCGTGATGAGTTGGAAAGATTAATACTTGAAAGACCATACTTCACAGATTTACCAGTACCATTAAATGATTCATTCAAGATACACAATTTCAAGAAAATCGAACGGTCTGAAGATATAAAAGATAAATCATTTAAAAGAGTTTCACCTAAGGTTCCAATCAAAACATTTCTCTTTGTTTTTAAAGAAGATGTTATAGGTTCCAACCGAACAAAGTCTATGGATAATCATTCTTGTCTTTATATAAGGGGTTTAAGTAAGCAGTATGAGCACAATCTAAATGATTGTTTGATAAGTCATGTTGAACGTATTTTAAATGATCTCGTTGAAGAAGAGAAGAACTTTATCAATGACAAATTACAAAATGGGAAAGAATACAATGGATATGATCTTCAATCAATTGATTCTTTTGAACCATCATTCCCAAATATTAATGATCTTATGAATGACTTCTTATTAGGATCAAATCCGTTTTCAATTCAATTAAAACCATCATTGATTCCACCTAAACAAGTTTTGAAAACTTTATTGAGTGTTTTATATTCTGGGGTTGAAATTGAAGAAAGACCAGGATTTATGGCAGAATATCGAAATGATGAGTACTCAGTTTTGATAGTTGCAGATGATGAATTAAAAGAACCAAAGTTCTTGAAATATTGTGAACAAAAATTTGAAAGTTATTTTAATGAGTTATATGTTAAGGAAGGAAAAGTGGTAATTAAACAAAATGAATCTATATGGTTGACACCTTCAAAAAATAATTATAAGTTGATTGATACTGAACCACCAATTTATTCAAAGCTTTAAAGATCATATTATTATTTCAATATACTCTTGGATTCTGTATTATAACTAGAGAAGACCGTACTAAATTACAAACCAAACTTAAAGATCAAAAAGCTTATAACCCAATTCCTACAAATATTATAAATTAAATCTATGAATTAAACGATATTTATGCGATATTTATGTTCACAAGTTCATGTTTTTTCAATTGATAACTTGCATAACACGTTCAAATAACGTATCTAATTGAATGCTATTTAAATTTTCATATAAATTATTGAATGAATTTATATCTAATGATTTAGTTTGACCATTAATTTCTTGAGAATCATCAACTTCGTCTTGTGTTTTGTAAATTTCACTTGATGATTGAGCATTATTTAATAATATACTCATTTCTTGGGCATAATCCATTATTGTTGGTGCTGATTCATTATCAATGTTATTAATCTTGGAATTTGAAATTAAACCAATCTTGGATTTTATATCTATAAATATAAAATCATTTTCAAAGTTCCAATTGATTGATGTAATATAATCATCATGATCACCAATGAAAATTGGGGTTTTAGATGTTGGTTTGAAAACGAAAACTTTTGAATTTAATTTATTTGTTTGAGGATTAAAATAATTAACTGCAATGGCGATTAAATTTTTGATATGATTGATTGTGATTAAGTTTTCACCATGTTTAGGTTGATTAACACTTAATACCAAATCATTTTCTTTTAAATTTAATAAATTAATTGATTTGATTGAAGTTTTTGATAAGATAATCAAATTATTATCCACAATATCCAAAGATTTTATTCTTGAACCTGCAATGTTTTGTAATTTATTATTAATTTCTGGATTTTCAATTTCTTCAAATGTATTTGTATCAATAGAAATAATTTCATCTTCAAACCCTAAGAAAATTAAACTTGAATCTTTGGACCATGTTAAACTAACAGAATTTGAAAAAACATTTGAACTTGGTTTTAATTTTCTTAATGACCAACCATCATTTGAGCCATTAACACTATTTGATCTCCATAACCTTACACCACCGTTGTTATCAGCTGTAAGGAATCCAATACCTTGGAAATATGAGCTTGGTGCACTAATTAAAGAAATTATTGGAACATGTTGACCATGAGGATTTATAATTTTGGTAACTAATTCCCATGATTGACTAGTTGTTGGTGTTGATTGTGGGTTTTTGGTTGTTGATTCAACAAATTTCCAAATTTTCAAAATATAGGTTAAATCATTTTGTGATAATAAATTATCAATTTCACCATGATGATGTTCTTCAATAGTTGCCATCCATTTACCATCATTTGTAAATTCAAATTTTGTAATTGATGGATCTAAGATTTTATGTTCAGATCTAACTTTACCAATTTGTAAAGATTCAGAAATTTTTTGTATTGAAATTTGTTCATTTTTGAAAAAATCAAAAATTTGTAAATTATATCCATTTATAATATAAATTTGTTTTGTTATTGGATGGATTTTAATAAAACTTGTAAAATCATATTTTAATTTTGAAATATCAATTTTAGAAGATTTTGACATTGATTTAATTAATTTTTTAACATTATTCAAATCGGAATTGAATTCTTGTCTTGGTCCATTTATTGATAATCTTGATTTTAAATCTAATGATGATAATAATAAAATTTCATAATTTTTAGAATTATTTTGTTCATCTAGTTTTAAAGTTAATGAAATATATTCATCAAATGAAGAATTAATTGAAATAATATCACCATTTAATCTTGGTAAAAATTGTTGTTTTTCAGTATCTAATTGCCAAAATACTAATACACGTTCTAACCCACCAGAAATTAAATAATTTGAATCTGAATGGAATGATAATGATAAAACTTGATCAATATGCCATTTTAAAATTCTTGTTGTTGATGTAGAATTTTCATAAATTAAATGAATAACACCTGATGAAGTACCAACTGCTATGGTGGAATCATTTGAAATTGCTAATGAAGTAATGAATGATTTATATGGGAATACTATAGTTTGATTATTGGAATCTTTTGAAGTTAAATCAACAATTGTTAAAATTCTTTGACTTTTGGATTTACTTAGAAATAATAATTTATTAGTATTTTTGGAAATTGTAAATAATATAACATTTCTAATGATTGATAATGATTCATGTTCTAATGTATTTGTTGTGTTGTCTGTAATGGTATATTGAATTATATTTCTTGTATGAGGTTTATTTGAATCTTTACCTGTAATCACGGTGAAAGATTCATTATTAAATTGAACAATTTCTAATAATGAATCATCTTTATTTAAATCTAATTTGAAAGTTTTAATTATTGGATTAACTAATTTTTCTTTCCAATTAATTACTAGAGCATCACCATTTGATAAGAAACACCATATTAAGTTTGGATCCACTGTGTCTAATTTTATTGAAACCAAATTATCTAAATTTAAATTATTTAATTTATTAAATTTTAATGATCTTATGCATTGTCTTGTTGATATGAAATAAACTTTTAATTGATTATTGAAAGGAACGATATAATGACGACCATCTTCAGTGAAAGTGGCACCGATTGGTAAAGGTTGACCACCTGAGACTAATGATAATCTATACTCCTCAGACATTTGATATCCTTGTACTTATCCCTAATTTTTTATAAATTTGTAGCTCATCGCATACTTAAAATTTTTATGGGTATAAAATATAATTTTTTTTTCCCAAATTTTTACCCGGTTTTATCAAATCTTCCGCGAATTTTGATTTTTTTTTTCTTTCCTTTAACAAAAATTTAAAAAAATTGAAATTTAAATGACAAAAATTAACAATTGAATCAAACAAATCACGGTTTAAAGATGATTGTTCCAGTCCGTTGTTTCTCATGTGGTAAAGTATGTTTGAATCTGTTGTTGAAAGGGGATATTATGGTGTTTTTTCCATGTCTTTTCAGCATTTCTATGACCAAAGTTAGTTACTAATATGTTCACAGGTTGTTGGTGACAAATGGGAATCATACCTAAGTCTTTTACAAGATGATGCCACTACTGAAGGTGAAGCTCTTGATAAATTAAAATTGAAAAGATACTGTTGTAGAAGAATGATCTTGACCCATGTTGATTTGATTGAAAAATTCTTGCGTTATAATCCATTGGAAAAAAGAGAAGCTGTGCAGAATTGAATTTAAAACCACCATATCAATACAATAAAATTAATCAATTATTCATATAATCAATCTCCTAATCAATTAATAGTTAATTCACCATTTAATTAAATTTCATAACCTGATTATCAATATCATTACTCATTAGATCAACTCCATCAACTCCACAATTCCATCAAAACACATCCATTTCATTTGGTTTTTCCACCATTCAATAGGGAATTTTTAACGCTCTGTATATTAATAATCCACACGTACTATAGTTTAATTCTTGATTGTAGAATATCCCATTTCCTTTGTTTTACTTTGTCGTTGTTTTGATGATTATTTGCTTTTCAAGAAAACCGGAAATAAAAAAATATTTATATCGCCACTAAAAAAAAATCAATTAAAGGAATGAAAGTAAACAGGAATCAAAACATCACCAATTAAGATCAAAGAAGACAAGTAGCACAATGAAACCATTGTTTGGTGGGAATGGTGCGCTGGGGATCATCAGAAACCATACAAAAACATGGAAAATGACTCCCTTTTTCATGCTTAAACAAAACTATTCAAATTTGAATAAGAGATTCTTATCAAATTCTCCATTGTTAATGTCAAATTATATAAAATTGAATCCAACTCTTTATAAACCAAGTTTGAATAGATTTTTTTCATTCAGTGCAATTCCAAAGATCCTGGGGAAAACTATTAAAGGTCCTGCTTATCTTGGTGGTAGTTTAGCTGCTGCTGGAAGTTATGTTGCTTATAAAGTTGAAGAAGCTTCAAATTATACTACAGATCGTTTAAATCAAATGAAAGAGTTTGGTGAAGGTGCTATGGATAAAGCTTCTGAATTTTGGAATGGATTGAACCTTGGTGGTGGTAGTACAGGGGCTTCTGGCGGTGATGGTGGTGGTGGTGGTAATGGTGATTCTGCTACTGCTGTTGGTACTGCTGCTGCAATTGCTTATTCCCAAGATGAAGATCAAGAAGAGGAAGAAGAAAAAGAAAAATTAATAGATCAAGATGATGAAGAATTAGAAGATGATACAACAGATGATGAAATTTTAAGTCTTACAAGACAAATGATTGAAATTAGAACTTTATTACAAGAAATTGATAGATCTTCTGATAATTTAAAATTACCATCCATTGTGGTTATTGGATCTCAATCTTCAGGTAAATCATCTGTACTAGAATCTATTGTGGGACAAGAATTTTTACCAAAAGGTTCAAATATGGTTACAAGAAGACCAATTGAATTAACTTTAGTTAATACTCCAAATACTGCAGCTGAAACTGCAGATTTCCCAGCTTTAAAAATGTTTAATTTAACTGATTTTCAAGAAGTTCAAAAAATTTTATTTGATTTAAATATGGCTGTTCCTTCAACAGAAGCAATTTCAAATGATCCAATTCAATTAACTATTAGATCACCAACTATTCCAGATTTATCATTAGTTGATTTACCAGGTTATATTCAAATTGAAGCTGCAGATCAACCAACCTTATTAAAATCCAAAATTAAAGAACTTTGTGATAAATATTTAGAATCTCCAAATGTTATATTGGCAATTTCAAGTGCTGATGTTGATTTAGCAAATTCTTCTGCTTTAAGAGCAAGTAAATTAGCTGATCCTAAAGGTGAAAGAACCATTGGTGTTATTACAAAATTAGATTTGGTTGAACCTCAAGTTGCAAGAGATATATTATTAAATAAAAAATATCCATTAAAAATGGGTTATGTTGGTGTTATTACTAAAGCTCCAACAAAATCTTTATTTAGTCAAAAAAAAGGTCATGATGCATTTATTGCACAGCAAAATTTTGAATATCAATTTTTAAAAGATAATAAAGAAAATTTCCAAAATTGTAATGTTTCAACAAAGATCCTCAAGAAAAAATTAATTAAAGTATTGGAAAGAACAATGTCATTATCTTTAACACCAACTGCTGCATTAGTTCAACAAGAATTAGATGATACTAGTTATAAATTTAAAGTGGAATTTAATGATCGTCAATTAACTCCAAAGACTTATTTAGCTGAAAATGTTGATACTTTAAAGCTAGCTATTAAGGAATTTAATGAACATTTTGGTAGATCAGAATTACGTTCAATATTGAAAAATGAATTAGATCAAAAAGTCCTAGATCTCTTGGCTTCCAGATATTGGAATAAAATAAATGATAAAGAAATTAGTACCAAAACATTAATTGAAAATTTAACAGTGTTAAATGATACAACAAAAGAAGATCCTTATTGGTCCAAGAAATTAGAATTTACAACAAGTTCATTAACAAAATTAGGTGTGGGAAGATTATCAACTTCATTAATAACAGATGCCATAATTTCAGAAATTGGAAATATAGTTAATGGTACACAATTGAAAAATCACCCGTTGGCAAAAGAAGTTGTCAAGGAAGCTGCTATAAATGTCTTAAATTCAAGATATTCATCTACTGCTGATCAAGTGGAAAATTGTATTAAGCCATATAAATATGAAGTTGATGTTGAAGATCGTGAATGGACCATATCAAGAGAACATGCTATACATTTAATTAAAGAAGAATTATCACAAGTTAATGATACTTTAAATTCCTTGAAAACTTCAATAGGTGGTCGTAAACTATCTCAAGTTATTAAATATTTAGATGAAAGCACTGGAACAACACATGAAGAAACTTTAGGTTTTTCTAAAGTATTATTGGATAGAGGTCGTGAAGGTCAATTTTTAAGAGATCGTTCCATAATATTAAACCTAAGATTAAAAGCATTAAAATCAAATGGATGTAAATCAAAAGATAATAAATTCAAATGTCCTGAAGTGTTTTTAAACGTTGTTAATGAAAAATTAACAACAACTGCAGTACTTTTCCTTAATGTTGAATTATTAACTGATTTTTTCTATAAATTCCCAAGAGAATTAGATTCAAGATTAAATATCAATTTAAATGAAGAACAAATTGAAGAATTTGCTAAAGAAGATCCAAAGATTAAGAGACATATTGAATTACAACAACGTAAAGAATTATTAGAATTAGCTTTAAATAAAATTGATGGGATTTTAGCATTTCAAAGGAATAAAACTCCTTTAACAATAACACAAAGAAATAATAACGAAGGGAATGGGAAATGGCGTTGATTTTATTTGATTGATTTGAATTTAGTATAAGTGGTATTTATATATATATAATTGAAACAAATTTTTGTTGTTTTTTTGTAAATTTGATATAGGTTTTCTGCTCCTACCGATTTTGAAATAAATTTAATTTGACTATTAAGCTGAAATAAATTTATAAAACATTTGATTCTTGAAATTCTAAACTACACGTAACTCCAGTGCAAGGCATGGCCATAGATTCTGATAGTGATACAGAGAGGGATTTATCAGCAGAAAGCACCGTTGAAGAAGAAGAAGAAGAAGACAATCATAAACACAATCACAAAAGAAGAAAATTTACTACCGCGTCTTATACCAATATGTCAAATGATAATAATGAACAAAATGAAAAATTTAATGGACAATATATAAAAGATACCAAATATCCAAATTTACCAATCAAGTCAACAAAGCTTTATAATGAGAATAGTGAGGAAGTTTTCTGTATTTGTAGGAAACCAGATCATGGAGAATTAATGGTTGGTTGTGATGGTTGTGATGATTGGTATCATTTTAAATGTATGAAGATAAATTTAAAATTTAGAGAACTTATAGCAAATTATTATTGTCCTTATTGTGAGATTGAGGGGAAAGGAGTGACACATTGGAAAAGAAAATGTCGAGTATCAAAATGTTTCAAACCTATATTGGAAAATTCATCAAAATATTGTTCTAAAGAACATGGTTTAGAATATTTATCAAATATAATTAATGTTCAATTAAATCAAGAAGGTGTTGGGATAAATAGAGATCAAGTTGGTGAAATGGTAAAGATATCTGATAATATTGAAGATTTTAAAAAAATTGGTGAAAAATTACCTGATTTACCTGATATGAATTTAATAATTAAAGATTCAAGAATTTTAAATCTTGATGATTCAATAGAAATTTTAAAGAAAGAAAAGGAAATAAATCTTAATAAAAAGAAAATTTTGTTGAAGAATAGAGAAAATATTAAAAAATTAAATGAAATTTTAACAACAGATTTAAATGTTGAACCTAGTTCTACAACTAATAAGAAAAAACCAAAAATTAAAAAAATTGATCTTTGTGGGTATGATTTAATTTTCAATACTGATAAATTTGAAAATAATAATTTCCAAGAATCAGAATTAATATCAAATGATTTAACATTATTGAAAACCCAATATAATCAATTGATAAATTCTGATGAATCAACAACAAGTACACCCACAACGTTTTGTTTCCTTGATAGGAAGAAATGTTTAAAACATAATGGATGGATTTCAGTTATAAATGATGAAATTGAATTAAATTTAAAAAAAATTGATAAGAAAATTAATTCAAACTTTGAAAAAGGGGAAAAAATTATTAAAACTATAAAGACTGATTTTTTTGAAAAGAAATAAATCAATGGGATGTAATATATAGAGATACATGAACTAATCATCAATAAAAGTTAATTTGCATTATATAATACACACATAAAAAGATCACATAAAAAGATGAATCATATCTATTCCTTTGTTTCTTCCTCCTTTTGTTCTTCTTCCTCTTCACTTTCTTCATCATCTTCTAATAAATGAGGTTTCCAAATTTGTACAAGACAATCTTCACCAGAACTTATTATAGTATTATTAATCCCTTGGATCCAAGAAAATTCTGAAATTTTTGAAGTATGACCACCATGAATGAAAACTAAAGTTGGATCTTCTGAATCATTTTTAATATAATCATCAGAATCAAATTCTTCATCAATTTTATTTAAATCCCATATAGCAATTCTACGATCATTTGATGAAGAAGCTAATAATTTTGGATTTTCAGGATTAAATTTTAATTGAGATATAGCATTATTATGACCATATAATGATCTAATTGGGGATTCTGTATTTCTTAAATCCCAAACATTAATTAAATTATCTGCAGAACCTGTAACGAAAATTGAATCTAATACTGGATTAAATTCAATTGCATTAATAACATCTTTATGACCATTTGAAATTTTAATTAATGGATTAAAAGTATTTTGTGATCTTGTATCAAAGAATTGAATTGAACGATCATCACTAACAGAACCAAATAATGAAGTAATTTTATGATTCCAAGAAAAATCATTTATAATTGAATCATGAGTTTCATAAATTTTAATTGGTTTTAATTCAGAGGAGTTTTGGGATAAATCCCATAAGGCAATTTTAGAATCTTCACCACCAGTTAATAAATTTTCATTATTTATACCCCATTCAAGACCAAATCCATCTTTTTCATGAAATTTTAAAGTTTGAATAGATTTTTCATTTTTAAAATCCCAAATCTTAATATCACCACTCTTGGTAAATGTTGCAATTTTTGAATTAAATTTATTAAATCTTGCCTTATTAACTTCATTTGGATGTAACCATTTTTGTAAGATTTGAAATTTTGGAAATAATGAATTTGAACCAGTTGGAATTGGTATTGATTTTTTAAAATTTGAAGTTAAAGTTGATGGTAATTTAATTGAAGCTAATTTTAAATAATTTTCTGAGTTCTCACCACCATGATGATGATGAGAATAAGTCCCTAATAAGAATTTAGCTTCAACTTCATTTTGATCATTTGAAAATTCTAAATTTGGTAAAGTTTCAATAGTTAATGATGGAGTATCTTGAACATAAGTTTGAATAGTGTCATATAATAAAGGAACAGATTTTTTCCATATTTTAAATTCTTCATTTATAAGTTTTTCATTCTCGATGTATTGTGATGTATGAGATTCTAATTTAACTTCTTCTGTAGTGGACATTGTGACAAAGCCTAGTAATTATCAATATATAAAAGAAAGATAATTAGTTTCTATGTATTTCAAAGAACGGACAAAAACAATTAAAATTATGAGAAGCGCACGCACTTTAAAACTTATCTTGATTATGTCATGGATTAGGTAATTGGATGTTATTCAAAAGTGTTACCCGGCTGAAATTGGCAGAATTCGACAAAAAATTAAATTCCGATGCGGGGAGTCGAACCCCGGTTTGCCCGGTGAAAGCGGACCGTGCTAGCCGTTACACTACATCGGATTATCTTGATGTTCTTATTTACTCTGTTTGTAAATTAGAGTCTAATTCTAATGAACGAGTTTGGTTAATT